GGGGGGGGGGGGGGTGGGTTTGACCTCTATTTCGTATTCTAATGAAGACAACTTATGACGTAACGATTTGACATTATATTGAGAGTAATTTCCATTGGTATTTTGTCTTTTTTATTACCAAATGTAATATATATATATATATATAATTTTTGTAGTGATCCATAATATTTCTAATATTTATATATATACTACATTTGGTCCTAAAAAAATAAAATACCAATGAAAATCGTCCCCGATGTCTCGTCAAATCGTCATTGATATGTCTAGTTGTTATGTCATAAGTTGTCTTTACAAGAAGATGGAATAGATGTCAAAATCGGCCACATGGGACGATTTGGACAAAATGAGGGCGATCTCATATATATCAGATATAATGATTTTTGTTCCTCAAATGGTATACATGTGAGACTTATCCGTACCTTATAGTCAAAATCACCTTTCAGGAGTGATTTTGGTGGTCATTTTGTGAAAAATCTCTGAAAAGGGATCATTTTGTTAGCGTACCATGTACAAAATGGTCATTTTGGGTAATTTTCCCTTCAACGTGGCTTCATTCCTTTTATTTACCCCCTTATTGGATGAATTCCGCCTCTTTAATATATTCCCTTTTCTTTTCTGCTCATAAATATCAAAGGAACTGTTAAATTGCAGTTCTTTTACCGATTGAACGACAAGTATGACGATTATCGAAATGAGTTATATAACAAAGGGTTTGAGTTTGAACTTCAAGGTTCTTCGATCGGCTCGTATGAGGTTGGGTTGACTTCTCCACACATTGACACGAGTGCAATGGATGCAACTGGATTGGCAGGTAAAAACGAGTCACTGATTGAGCGTTGTATGCTTTAGCCAGATGTGATCGTGACACCCTTAAATTTAAACTACTAGTTTGGGACAGTGTTAATGAAACCGATAACACAGAAACAACTAAACTTACCGATGGTACTCAATTCAATGTAATGTCACGAGAATGTTTATTCAACTTCGTGCAAAAGGCCCAGATGATCCTACTAATCATATTGATGTTGACTAAAAATTAATCTGAAAAACGACGATGTCTGTGGTTGAAGGCGACTTAAGGGGAAGAAATAGTAGACGTGACAATTAAAATAAAGACTACTACCATCTTCCAACCCAACAGCTAAAAAATAAACTAAGAATATTAAAAATTATGATCGCATTAAACACTGAAAAAACCAACTCCAACTACTAAGGATGGTGATTTGCCCTGACTCGGTGGGGAGCTCAGCTTACCCGACCTGAATGGGGACGAAGATTCCCTGCTAAAACCGGTCCCGGGGTCGGGGATCCCGGTAGACTCAAACCGGGGTCGGGGTCAGGGGCGGGGGATATTACTCAAATCAGGGTTGGGGTCAGGGATCCCAGATAGACTCAAACTAACGAATATTCTTCGTAGGGTTTGACCAAGGATGAGATGTAAATCCCCGTATCTGTCGGGGACTAGAGCCGGGGCTATTACTATAAACATTTTTATAACCGTTCATCTGTACAATATGTACATGTATATATAAGTAATTGAATATATTTTATATTTGAATAAATTTTTAAAAAAATATGAAAAATTGATAAACACCCTCACAATCATTCATTTGTACGGTATGTACATGTATATATAAGTAATTAATATGTTAGAATTTAATGATTATTCTAATTATATTTTAGATTTTTTATGTTTAAAATGAGATACTTATCATGTATTTAATTATGTTTATTTGCAGTTAGTTACACATATTTAATAATTGAGCTTTAATAGGTTGTATTTACGTACAATTTATTTGTAATTTTGAATTTTAAGTAATACGCATCAATAAAAAGTACTCCATGCATAAGAAATAGTTTTTAAGAGTTTTTGTCAAATATTTTATAATATATTATAGATAGAATGTTCAATCAATTTTTCAATTTTCTTTTAGGCTTTCCATTGATCCTAAAAGAAAATCTAATCAACTACAAGGGTGGTGCCTGATTGGTTTTAGTTTGACTTCAAAGGTCAAAAATACCAAGAGGTCTCAGGTTCAAATCCAATAAGAAATAAAAACCCCTTATGGCCACAGAGGTTCAAATGCGGTGACTCCGGGCTATTTGCAAAGCAGGTGGTCGCCCTATGATTAGTCGGCTCAGATAGCGAGTTGAATATCCAAGTTAATAAAAAAAAATCTAATCATAAGTGATGTCCGATTGGTTTGAGCATGAACTGTAAAAGTCAAAAGTGCATAGAAGTCTCAGGTTCGAATCCAAAAAGAAATAAAAATCCTCTTATAGTAATGAAAGTTCAAATATAATGACTCATAACTACCTGTAAAACAGATAATCATCCTGAAATTAGTAGCAGCAGATTGGATAAAAAAAATTAATATATTATTCGTGAACAACTTGGATATTGTAGTTATTATTAAAAAAAGAGAGGGTTTACAAACACGAAGATGGATGGTCCACACCTACCACCCTTACCACTGGCAAGAATCATGCCTTTAAGCTTTATCATCTCCTACTAACTTGCGCACATTCGATGCACCTAGACTCCTTTTCCATTAAGGATGCTTCTATCGTCCTGCCTCAGGCCTTCCTTTCGAATAACCCCTTCAAAACCCTCATCCTGGACTCCCATTGCTGGAATTGGAAACAATAAGAGCAGCAGACTCTCTTTTTTCCCAATATTTAGGGCATCTTCTATTTCGACTGTTTCTACTGCAAAAGAGGACGCTGTTATGGCTCAAGATGGACCGATTCATCAGCATCCCGTGCAGGTTTACTCTTGATCCAATCGATTCTTCAGTTTCTATCGGTTTTCTTCATGTAGTTTGATGCTAATTTGTATTTGTTGCTATTGCGTTAGTAGTTTTCGAAATGGAAATGATATGATCTCCGTCTCGAGATAAAATGAACGATTTCTGTTTGTAATTATGAAATAATGAGGCTGTTGCCTGTAACTCAGGTTTTTGGTGTTAGGGGGAGGTTCGGTTGGGAACCCAAAATTGATTAGAAATTCGTGAACCACCCACAATGCAAAAGTGGCATATTCAAGCAGGAATATGGACGTGTTATTTATGATGAATATTCATCCTGAAGAGGGTTACTTTGCACGCTGTGGGAGATTCTCGTGTTCCTAATCAATTTTGGGTTCCTAATTAAGTTAGAGAAATTTTACCAAGCTTTCAGGATTTTCAGTCATCCTACTTTATTCAGCGTAAGATTTATAAGCAATTCAGTTTCAATCCTATAATTTAGTTTTGGACCCTTAATTGTTCTTTTTGGAAATGGGTTATCCTAGGCTTCACTCTGACTAATACCGTGGCAAATCGTCATTGTAGGTTTCACCCATATCCCTAGGTAAATCTCCCGGTGGCCCACAAGTGCATATGTAGATGGCAGGATTTGAACTCGGGTTGATTTTATCATCCCCTTGTCTTTATTCACCATGCTACGACCCTTGTGGCTAGGACCGTAAATTCTTTTGGTTGCCATATTAGTATTCATAGGAGATACAAATGTTTCCACTTAGATTGTTGATAATAGGAGTTTGGTAATTCTCTACGATCACTAGACAAAATATGGTGAGCAATTATCTAGATGATATTTAAAGACATGTATTCTGTAACATCCAAAATACATGTCTTAAAACATCATTTGGGTGCTTGCTGCGCAAATTTTGTGTATTGACGGTCGGTATTCTTTTTTCTTTGATAATAATTTTTATTATGTTCAAGAGGGAAAAATATGATACCAAAGAGATCAATAGCATTTCACGCGGATTTCTTTTGTTATATAGGTCTGTAAAGCAATCCCTTGATTTTGTGATCTAATACTTTGCAAGGCGTTCACCATTGTTGACACCTGGAAGCACAAGATTGCAAATTACAGATATTTCTTTACGACACAATGCTAGGTTTTCGGTATTCTTCAGGGTTAGAAAAATGTAATCTTTGGATGTTGCGTTGGGAAGATAGGAAATACCATATGGTGGTTTGACACATGGTCTATGCGCTTAGTGAGGAGACTTAGGGGGCTTTTGGTTTGACGCTAATGTTTTTGAGGGATTTGGATTTCGTTGAATGATTTGGAATTGGAAGAATTTGGAATTCTTGTGTGTTTGGTTTGCAGGATTTGGAATGGAATTTGTTCCATTCTTTTTAGATAACTTATAGAGTAAATTACGTTTTTCATCCCTATGGTTTGTTTAGAAATTATGGTTTTCGTCCTATGGTTTAGAAATTGTGGTTTTCGTCCCTATGGTTTGTAATTCATTGTTATTTTCATTCTTATGATTTACAATGTATTGTTGTTTCGGTCCTTGTGGTTTACGATTGTTTGCTGTTTTGATCCCTTGTACTTTAAAGGTAGGCATTAGTCCAAGGACGAAAATTGCAAACCACAGGGATGAAAGTCAAAATTATTAACAAATCACAAGGACGAAAATCATAATTTAGTCTAATTTATAAAAACTATAGTCAGTGTGCAGTGATTTCAACTGTCATTGTTTCTTCTATGTGTTTGCTCATACTTTTCACTTTTGCATAAGTTGAGTGTCTTCACAGAAATAGTCGCTGTACTCTTTTGGGTTGAAGATAGGTCTTCTTGCATCCCACCCTACTTCTTATTGGGATATACTGGGTTTGGTTTGGTATGGAACCTAGTTATATACTCCATCGTCCCAAAATAAATGCCTACAATGAGAAAGACACACAAGTTTAGAAGTATGTAACTGTTACACTTTTTAATCAACTGAAATGACAGTTATAGCCATAACAAGAGAGGGAGTAATGCATGTTTCCTATCTCATATTTAAGGGTGGAACTGGAAAATATGAACGTGAACACTTGTTTTGGGACAAACTAAAATAGAAATGTGGACACTTAGGGGGTGTTTGGTTAGAGGTATTAATCAGTAATCAATGGGAATGATAAACGGGGAGGGGAATGAAAAGTCATTTCCATTTTCATTCTTTGTCATTTTCATTTTCATTCCCTGTTTCATTCCCCAACTGAACCAAACAGCCCCTTTATTTTGGAATGGAGGGAGAATATTTTTTTATCCTAGCGTCTGCACAAAATATAATTCTGTTACCTGTTTTCCAAGCTTGATTATTTCTCGTCTTCTAAAATTAAAATTTGCACAAATAGTTGCTTTTGTTAGCAGCTTAATGAGCTTAATGGAAGTATAGGAAAGATTGCCTCAGTTCGGATTGTTCTCTGCAACTCGGGAACATGAAGTTGGAATCGCTAGTAATCACGGATGAACATTCCAAAACTAAAAAAAAGCCCTTTCTCAGATTTTAAGCGATGACTTAAGCCTCTGGGAAAAAGACATAAGATTTGTTCGCTAGAGCCCATCGCTGAAGAATGGTGGCTTTACCTTTTGGAATTAGAGAATAACTTCTTCGCGTGAGCGGCGTACGTACAAGCCTTTTGGAATTAGAGAATAACTTCTTCGCGTGAGCGGCGTACGTACAAGCCTTTTGGAATTAGAGAATAACTTCTTCGCGTGAGCGGCGTAAGCAGTTGTCTATGTAATTACGGTCTTTGTTGGCCGGGGAGACATAAGATTCTTGGCCGCTCAATAGACGGACATACTCTCTTTCTCTTTTACGCAATATCTTGAAGTAGCAGAGTAATCTTCCAGCACTTGATGATTTGCCTAGTGAGAAAGCCAGGAAAAGACCCAACAGGCATCTCTGTTGACTTCATAACTACCTTGTTACCTTTCAAGCTTTTCTGAATTATCTTGTCATGTATGGATTATTCGGTCAACTATACATGACTGTTTGGTAGTGGCTTAATGATATAGAAAATGGCTTATTCAATAAGCTTTTAGGGGGGGAGCTTTATGCAGAAAGCCCAGTTTTTTCCAAATATGCCCCTCCCAATTAAAAAACTCGTTCATTCCATCTATCAAAAAAACTCTGCAAAATAAAACCATCCCAATCTATGCAGACAGTTTTATACATACATGACTTAATGGAAAACCAACCAAACATCCCCTAAATGTTGTTTAAGGAAATATTTGTCTTTCATTTTTAACATTTATTATTCTTTTCCAGGTCGCAAAGCGTTTGGAGAAGTTCAAAACGACCATCTTCACGCAAATGAGTTCACTTGCCATACAACATGGAGCAATAAACCTCGGCCAAGGATTCCCGAATTTTGATGGTCCCGATTTCGTCAAAGATGCAGCCATTCAAGCCATTAAAGAAGGAAAAAATCAATATGCTCGTGGGTACGGAGTCCCCGATCTCAACTCGGCCATAGCTGCCCGTTTCCAGAAAGATGCCGGACTCGTGGTGGACCCTGAGAAGGAAATCACCGTTACTTCTGGATGCACGGAAGCAATTGCAGCAACTATTTTAGGCTTGATAAATCCCGGAGACGAGGTGATTCTTTTTGCTCCTTTTTATGATTCTTATGAAGCTACATTGTCCATGGCCGGCGCCAAAATAACGTGCATCACGTTACGGCCACCGGATTTTGCTGTTCCGATCGATGAACTCAAATCCGTGATCTCGAAAGATACACGCGCGATCCTTATGAACACTCCACATAACCCGACCGGAAAGATGTTTACTCGCGAAGAACTTAATCAGATTGCATCTTTATGCATCGAGAATGACGTTTTGGTTTTTAGCGATGAAGTTTACGATAAACTGACGTTCGAAATGGATCACATTTCAATCGCGTCTCTTCCCGGGATGTATGAAAGGACTGTGACTTTGAACTCACTGGGCAAGACTTTCTCACTAACAGGCTGGAAAATCGGGTGGGCCATAGCACCACCGCACTTGATATGGGGGGTTAAACAAGCTCATTCATATCTTACTTTTGCTACCTCCACCCCGATGCAGTTTGCCGCTGCAGCGGCTTTACGAGCTCCGGATTCGTATTATGAGGAGTTACGGAAGGATTATAAGGCGAAAAAGGATATTTTGGTGGAGGGATTGAAGGATGTCGGTTTTACAGTATACCCTTCAAGCGGGACGTACTTTGTGGTGGTGGATCACACTCGGTTTGGTCTTGCGGATGATATTTCATTTTGTGAGTATTTGATTAAAGAAGTCGGGGTCGTTGCGATCCCAACGAGCGTGTTTTATTTGAACCCGAACGATGGGAAGAATCTTGTGAGATTTACCTTCTGCAAAGATGAGGAAACTTTGAGGAGTGCAGTTGCAAGGATGAAGGAGAGATTGAAAAGGTAAGTCAAGCAATTAGAGTATGTTTTTATCATGTATTGTTGGCAACCATAAGTTAGGGCATATATATATATATATATATATATATATATATATATATATATATAGACTTATGATCATGTGAGACAAGGCTTCTCTATATATATATATATGCTATTTTTTTGGAGTTTATGAATTTGGTTACATTGGAGTTCCTTTTTCTGAAATAAAATGTGAAGATGGCATGTGGACATTTTGTGGATGGAGGTGTTTGGGTTGTAGTTTTCTTTAGGTATATAATGTTTATGTGTGGCTTTTAGAGGAAAACCATTAAAAAATGGAAAATTGAGGAATATTTTAATAACCATCAATTTGTCCGTATGTATATGTATATAAAAGTAATTTCTGATCATAAGGGTAGTGTCTGATTGGTTTGAGCTTGGGCTCCAAAGGTTAAAAGTGGCTCGAGGTCCCAGCCTCCCATGTTCAAATCCAATGAGGAATTAAAATTCTCTTGTGGTCATGGAGGTTCAAATGCGGTGACTTCGGGCTACTTGCAAAGCAGGTGGTCGACCTGGGATTATTTGGCTTGCATAGCGGGTCGGAATCCAGGTTGATTAAAAAAAATTTGTACGGTATGCATATGTGTAGAAAATGTACATGTACGTAGTAATCGGAAAACATTTTTAATTACTTCTATGCATGTGTATAGCAGACAAATGAATGGTTATTAGGGTGTTACTTCGTCTTTCATTTTTTTTTATGGTTCTTCCTTGAACTTGAGTCTAATATTTGTATACGTCAAATGAAACTCACAAACATGTACTCAGCTTTGATGAGCTTTCAACCTTTGATCTCTAGAGGAATTGGGTTACTCAATATACTTAAAGGGTCGTTTACCAAACGCTTATCAATGTAAATCAAGTCACTTTACCTTATCAGATGAATATGACAATGATCAAAAATCTTACTATGTAAGAGTCAAGTAAAGGACCAAGAGTCTTTTCCTGTAAGTAAGAGTGACGACTCTTATCACAGTTAACACTTACCGGATAAATTGTTGCATACAATGTCGTTTTGGTGGATTAAAATTTTATCCAGTAAGTAAATGATAGCGTTGAATTTTACCGCTAAACACTTATCCAGATAAATGTTTGGTAAACGACTCCAAAGTTCATGAATCACACCCCAATCTTAACAATGGGAAATAATTATCTTTTAGAAAAATTGAAATCTAAAACTGAATTTATAAGTTCAAATAAAAAAATCCTATGTTCTCGAGTTCTTTCAGTAGACAAATAAAGAAAAATAATACTGATTTTTCTTCCAAACGTGAGAGAAAAGGGGCGAACGAATTTATAACAATCGAGAATATTTATAAAATTGAATATTACCTATTAATTACAGTCTGTCATATAATAAGCAAAGGTTATACGTATAAAAATGACATTTTCTTTTCCTGTATTTGTTGTCTGAACATGAAATTTCCTTTTTTTTGAGAGAATACAGGTTTAGGACAAACTTGGATTAAGCGATAACTTATGAATAATGTTATATAATTCTGACTTATATTTTTTTTTTCCAGATACATATAAGCACATAAACTCAAACTTGGATAAATCTGTTATGACTTATGAATAATGTTATATAATTCTGACTTAGGGGTTGTTTGTTTTACCTTTTAATAGTTTCATTAAAAGTCAGACTCTGAATCGTTAAGAGGTGAATCTTGTTTGACAAAAAAAATCTGCCTTTTAATGGTTCTAAAACCCTCTGAATGATTTTGTATCATGAGCATCCCTTAACCATTAAGCGCCCTAATTTCATTGTAAATAATTACCAAACAATTATATTTTCTTTTGCACTATATCATAAGAGTCTCTTAATCATTCTATACCGAACTATTCAGCAACTGGCAAACAACCCCTTATATTTTTTGTTAAATATAACAACAGAGAAAAAAAAATGAAAGGATAAATCTGTTATGACTTATGAGTAATATATTTTTTATTTATAGGTTTCTTTAACAGTCTTTTTTCTTTTTTGTTTCTTTCTATTTTATTATAAAAGATAGCAGTGTGTGCAGAAAGTCAACCGATTCAATTGGAACCGATCAACCATAATTGGATATCCAATAGTAATTGGACCGGATTGACTTGGAAATTTCAATATCCAATTTGGATGGGTCGGTTCTTTGATACAGTCCATAACTGACCAAAACAGATCAATATCCAATTACCCATCCGCTTACCATCCAGTTATCCATCCAACTATCATCCAATTAATTTGCTTTCAATTTGCTTAAATCTAAATTTGTTTTGTGTTGTTTTTTAAATTCATAATCTCAATTTTGTTGGTTTTAACACATATTAAAAGTGATTAACCAAATTCGTTTCTTTTTTGAAAAATTGGATTAAATTAACACATCAGATGGATCCGTTCCAATTCGATCCAATTCCAGTCATCTATTAGATTGGATTTGATCGATAATTCAATATTTATCAGATTGGATCGGTTGGTAAAATCCAACATCCAATGGATGATTGGATCGGTTCAGTTCCCCTCTCACTTAAAAAAAAACACTTGTTGGAGCACAAGAGTTGTCAGGTTGTTTGTTTACCTCTTAATAGTTTCACTAAGAGGCAACATCTGAATCGTTGAAAGATGAATCTTATTTGGTAGAAACAAAGTTTGTCTCTTGATTATTTTAAAACCCTCTCAATAATTTTGTATCACGAGCCTCCCTTAACCATTCAACGTCCTAATTTTATTGTAGACCATCATCAAACAATTATATTTCATTTTACACTATATTACGAGAGTTTTTTAATCATTCTGACTACTTAATTATTATATACCAAACCATTAAGCAACTATCAAATAACATAAAAATACTTTAAATAACTATTAAATAAAGTAAAATAATTCCAAACCAAACAAGATTCGTGTATATTCCCATTATAAATTAGCAATAAAATCCGAAAAGAGGAAAAGGGTCAACCTTCCTTCGCCTTTCCATTCCGCGGTATCTCACAATTGAATCAACCTCACGCGCCACCATTTTTATATATATTCACCGGCAACGAGATCTTCTCCTCATTTCCTACAAAATGCAGCACCGTCAACGTCTCAATCTCTAATTCATCGCAGATCTCTCTCTATCTCTCTTCGTCCGATCATCTTGTTCGGCAAAAGATCATGAATCTGCGTCTAAATTATGGCTTTCTCTTCCTCTTCCTCTTCGTTTCCATCGCTGCATCTCGCGTTTCTGCACAGGTAGACTCATAATTTGTTGTATGTGTTGGTTGATTTGTGGTTTAGATAAGCAATTTGTTGTGTTAAATTTGCTTTTTGCCTTTTGATTTTTGCAGGAGATTGGCGGTGATAAGGATAATGAAGACTCAACCAGATCCATTATAGATCTAGGCAGACGTAGCAAAGTAAGTAAACAAAAACCCTCGTAATTTTTTGATTTGGTGAATCCCATTTACTCTTCTTTGTACTAATAATTAGAAGACATGGTTATTGGTTTAGATTGTTTTATATTACTAGGAGAAGCTAAAGTGAATTTAGGGCTGAAAATATTTAATCACTTTGTGGTAAATGCAATTTGTGGGTATAACAGTAAGTAGTAAGCTCAATCTCATTCAATTGCTAATCATAGTTTTGTGAACTGACTTAAATAATTCCAATGCAACTCTGTTTAATCATTGTTGTACGTCAAATCTCAAAATCCGGACCAAATGACTGATTATAAGCAAAAGCCATCACGAAAGAACCGTATTACGACTTAAATTCAAGCTCAACGTCATATCTACAAGCTCAATTTTCAAAAAGAAAGGGTTCCGTAAGGCGTGTTCTTTTGTGATATGACTATTTGCTTATAATCGGTCATTTGGTTTGGGTTTTGAGATTTGAAGTGGAGCAATGACAGACATTGGATAGAGTAGCATTGGGAATTCCTGACACCGCTTGTACACAATTGGGTCAGCTGACTTGATTAAAATTCGCAATGCATCTCTTGGAGTGAGCTTGTATCCCTAGCAACATAAACTCCGTTGTCATCAGTGGCTATACCATCAGCCTTTCTGTCAAACTGGAACTCTAGTTGACGTAATCACTTCTTTTCTTGACCATCTAGTTATTTCACCATAATCTCCTTTTTATGTCTTATCTTCCGTGAACAACTATGATCTGGGAATGGAAGACCTTGGGATTCACTATCTTTCTATTTATTCTTTCTATGTGCTTAATCTATTTATGAGGATAAAGCAGCACCGCCTTTTCTTTCCTCCCGAGACCCCTAGTGGGTATGATGTTGGCTTTCATACAAATAAGTGGAGGTTCTTATGTGAGGAAACATAAGTTGTAGCTATCTTTCGTTTGCAACGTCAATTTGGGATGATGTTACTCATCTGTGCATTGTGGGGCTGTCTGGTTCAGACCGGGCAATGAAAATGGGAATGAAAACGAAAATGGCAGGGAATGAGTATGGGAATGAATTTTCTTTCCCCCCAGTTTAACCTGGAATGAGAATTTGGGCTTCCAGGGGAATCGACCCATTCTATTATATAAAAATGGGTTGTTTGTAAGCATCTCTTACCGGTAAGCAATAAAGGAATAAGAGTCTTCTCCCTCACTTATGTGAGAACCTCGGTTATATCATGCCTCTTACAGGATAAGGTTCGCGGTCCTTGCATGCTCACCCGGTAAGAAGCGCTTTATAAACGGCACCTTAGTCTCTGAAGAAAATGAGCTTCATTTTTGAAGATAAATTTCTTTTGTTCATCATAAAATTGTTTAAGCCCTTGATCTTCGACGAGCTAACAAAGAGTGTTTTTTCTTCCATTGCTCTGATAAAGGTTAACAAATACTGCTTACTGCTACATGTGACCTTTTTTAGTCTAAATTGAAATGCTGCATTGCTGTTTTTACAAACCAGCAACCTAAATAAGAACTATGAACTATATTAATATGAATTAATAGAACGGGCAATACGCTAATTAGTTTTGCTTAATAATCTTAATGTGTGTCTATTTTTTTCCGGACAGGTTGTTGTGCAGAAAATTAAAAACAATGTTATAGGTGACGGGATTGATCCAAAAGTTGTACTCAGTTTAGATTCTGGTCTTGGAGTTGTCGATGCATTCTTTGCCAGTTTGTCGATGATCCTTGTCAGTGAGGTGTGTACTCTTTTCCTATGTTCTAAAGCCGCACATAAGGTTATTACTTAATAAGATATATAACCCAATGTCACATTTATTTATTTCATATAGATTGGAGATGAGACTTTTATTATAGCAGCTCTTATGGCAATGCGGCACCCAAAGTCGATTGTTTTGTCTGGTGCACTGAGCGCGCTTTTTGTGATGACGGTTAGTTCGCTATTTTGAATTCGGTTATGTTTCCGATACATTTTCTTGATACGTGTTCCAAAAGATCATATACTTTAGGATGTATATTGCAATAATGAAGTTATGAAGTAGTTACAAAAAGCCTGATCTAAGCTGTTTTTGTTTTGGACTTTGAATGCAATATGCATTATGATCATTTAACTATACATCACAAACTTTTTGTTCCAAAAGTTGATGGTATTGACGGTTAGTTTGGTTTACTTGTCATACAGATACTTTCTACGGGGCTTGGTAGGATTGTTCCAAATCTGATATCCAGGAAGCACACAAACAGTGCCGCTACAGGCATGCATTGACTCTTTCTGCTTAAATGTTGATTATAATCCTTGTCAAGCATACCGCTTCTGTCTCTGAGAATTTTGTGCATAGATATAATTTGTTATCTTCTCTACATTTCTACTTTTCTTTCTTTATCTTCCCTTCTTTGGTAAATAAAGTATATGTTGGATTCCCCAATCAGCTAGACTTGGACCATTTCTCTTGTATATATGTTGGAACCTCCCCTTTCTCCTCAAGGGCTCACATGGTATCAGAGCCAAGGTCCGCTACTCTAGGGACCCGACACTTTGGCTAGCCCCCTCTCGACACTCTAGGACGATCTGTGTCTATCTCGCCTCCGTCGGAGGGGGCGTGTTGGAGTCCCACATCTGCTAGACTTGGACCATTTCTCCTGTATATATGGTGAAACCTCCCTTTTCTCCTCAAGGGCTCTTTTGGAGAGTGATCTGGGGGTTTCACATATTCTCACAATAGCAATTGATAGTATACTATGGCCTTATAGCACATTTAGGCTGAGGTCAACTAATTATTTGTAAATGCGTAATTGGCATAATGTAGCACTCCGGCCTTTTGTTTTTGCCAATTTGTTGTGTAATGGTGGAGCCAAAAACATTCATCTCAATGAAAAATGCTTCACATGCAGTGAACAAGTGTTTGATTCTTGATGGGGATCATATGGTCCCACACCTATATATGTTTTATACAAACTTGCTTTGTTCCCTACCTTCAAATAAATTCAATTTGTGTAATTGAAGGTGTCATTTATCGAATCTGTAACAACCCGTCCCATATGAATAGAAGATTGGATCTATGAACTCCTTATAAACTCAAAGTTGTGGCCTGTGGATTATCAATAACTTCCACCATGGTTTTAAGTTGACTCCGAAGTTATTGAGTCAACCTATTGCTTTGGGCTTTGGGGCGTTACAAAATCCCACAACAACAAAATCAACATGAACAATAACAGAGTTTTTAGGTTGATAATGATACCCATCGGGTTTTAAAAAAGAAGGATGAAACAATCGAAGGTCAGAAAACGTGCATAGCTTCCTTCCTTAGACTACTATCTAAAAAGAGATAAGATCTAAATATATACACCAAAATATGTATATATAAATACATATACACAATATATAAAATACTAAATTACTAAGGGCGCTGGTTTAGTGGTTCTTGAGAGAGAAGAATGAAACCGTGAGATAGGCTGAGAGGGTGTGAAAAATTGGTTGCTTGGAGGAAGAGGAAGGGTCAAACCACACTTTTCGATTGAGAGGAGAAAGTACTAGCTTTTTTGGTTTTAAACTATTGAAAGTACGCATTGGGGCCATTGGGCTTTGACTTTTAGTTTTTTAAAATAAAAAAAACACTTGCACTATAAAGAGAAGTACGACTACTGCCATAAAGCTTATAGAAAAAGCCAAAAAAAACCATTACCAGAGCAGATCATCGGAAGCATATGCCTCGACAACGCCAAGTTGTGAATTTTAAAAACTTTTGATGCGGTGAGGTTGTGCCACAGTGGTTTAGTTTGTGTAAAGCCTCTTTGTGGTGCTTTTATAGTTCAGACTAGACTTTACCATAATGTCTACACTCCTACTACATAATTTTTGTATATAAATCTCACATATAAACCTTATCGTGATGTTCAAATTTCATATAAAATATGAAGATCGTTAGACATCTAAATTGTTGTTCTTCTATATGCAGTTCTTTATGCCTTCTTTGGGATCCGCTTGCTCTATATTGCGTGGAGATCAGATTCGAAAGCATCCCAGAAGAAGGAGATGGAGGAAGTATGTTTGTTCTACTATAAATATTGTATCATCATTTAGTGCATCAGTGCATGTTACTAATACTTAGGGTTTGCTTGTTAGCAGCTTACTGAGCTTAATGGGACTCACAGCATATTCGGTCAACTATACATGACTGTTTGGTAGTGACTTGATGATATGAATCATAGTGGCTTATTCAGTAAGCTTTTAGGGGAGAGCTTTATGCAAAAAACCAAGTTTTTTTTTTTCCAAACATGCCCTTCTCAATTCAAAAACGTTCTCTTTCCATCTAAGAAGTACCCTCCCAAACAAAAACCTTCTCAATCTATACAAGCAGATTAATTCACACTGACAACTTTATCCATACAGAACTTAATGGAAAACCAACCAAACAGCCCTTAATTGCTTCAGATTTTGTTGCAGCTATAAGAAGTAATCATTTCAGTATCATCATATTTGCTATTTGCAACTTTCACAATGTAGTGTTCAAATAGTAACTAGCTCTTTAGAGTAGTGCAGGCCGCCCATAGTTTGCTTCTCTGGATATGAATCAGCTGCTCGTCTTTCACACTAATGTTTAGATATAAATGTCGTTTATCTACAAATTGATTGCATTCGGATTCATAGCACCCAAAATAGTCCATGGCTTAGTTACATTGCAAAGGGTGGTTAAGTGTACTAAAATTAGTGTTCTAAACGGCTCAATGCAACAGCCGTCGTGGCTCAAGGCTTGTGTCTGATGCCATGTTAAGCATGTGGCATGCCATGGCCTAATGAGCGGTTTTTATAACGTGATATTTGATTTTTCTTACCTTTTTAATGTCTTGTTAGTTTTTAATACGTAACATAATTTAAATTGTTTAATATCATTGACTCATTGAGTCATAGTAGAGAAACATATATAATATATTATATATATTATATAGAGATTTGCCACCACCAAGTCACGATGGGGCTCCTAAGGCTTGAGGCTTGGCCTCGCCGTAATGCCTCACGCCATTTAGAATCTTGACTTAAATACGGCAAAGAAAATAACTTCTTGAACCTGTCCCCACCCAATTTTTTGAACGGGTGTTAACGTGGGTGTATTCCGATATTTTTTTTAAACAGATAATCTTTGTAATTCCTTTTTGTTCTACCAACCTAAAGGCACAAATGTTGTACCTTTCATTTTGTTCTAACCACAAGGGTGGTAGCATGGTGGATAAAGACAAGGGGATGATAAAGTCAACCCGGAGTCAATCCCGCCATCTACATATCCGCTTGTGGCCACTGCTATAGGATTGGAATCACTCATTTCCGAAAAATCAAAAGTAGATAAATCGAAAATGAATATATTAAAGCATAAAATAGGAAATTATATTTCTACTTAATGATTTTGGTATACTTCTGTAGAGAATAGAATCTCGTATAAGTGGCTAAGCAAACAATCAAACATATACAGGTAGAAGAGAAACTCGAGTCTGGACAAGGAAAGACAGCTGCCCGCCGATTCTTTTCGAGATTCTGTACTCCCATTTTCTTGGAGGTACGTTTACTGCGATGGTTCATTAGTATTGTTTTCTGTTTACTTATTGTTAATCACTTTATTTACGATGCATGCAATTCAATGAAGTCAAGATATCTTGTAAACGTTTAGCGTGGCTGTCATATTCAATAACCAGACCTTTTGATAGGCCCCACCTTATTATTCATGTTATGACGTGTAGGGGTGTAAACGAGCCAAGCCGAGTAATAGGTTATTTAGCTCGGATCGAAAAAAGAACACCAGGCTCTAGCTCAAATAATTTTTTCAAAGTAGGGCTCAACTTCGAGCTTGATTATTTTTTGAATTATCAAGCTCGATGCTCATTTAAGGGCTCGAACTCGTGAGCAATTAACTCATTTATTGGTTTGAGCTCAACAATATTTATTTTTTATTGTATGATTTATGAACATATGAGCATGTTTGGCTCGAAAAAGTGTATGCTCGAATCACTCAACTCGACTCGACTTGACTTGACTAAAAAAATTCAATTGAGTTTTCGAACGAGCGTTGAACATTGGTGTTATGAAGCTCGGCTTGTTAACTTAAACGAGTAACGAGTTCTGTTTTTGTTCGAGATCGACTCGAGCTCGAGTAGCTCGTTAAAAGCAAGAATCATTTACACTCCTAGTGACATGTTTTGATCTTTGTTTTAGCACAAGTATCTCTTTTTTCGATAGACTCGTGTTGAAGAGATTGGTTTGTCGTAGAGGATGCTAACTTTGTTCCGGCAAATTGCATGAAAATGCAATATACTTTGGTCTCATTCCTATTTCGTGTAACGTACTTTTAAAACCTTTATTTTGGTACTTTAGATGTCATATCTCAAACATCTAAATAGGAATCGGACAGAAGTATGGTACCAAAACAAAGTTTTGGGAAGTATGTTACCCGGAATAAGAATCGGACTAATTTACGTTGCATTTTCATGCAATTTACCCAATTGTTTTTACTTCAGCTTCAAATCCACTAGTTTATGAATTGATTATGGATCATGATCTGAGAAGGGTAGCTTCAATACCTTTTATATGTTCTTATTTTATCTATATGATTGCTGATCGATTGATGACCAGCTAACGATTTTCTTATTGTACTGTGCTTGCAGTCGTTTATTTTGACGTTTTTAGCAGAATGGGGGGATCGAAGCCAAATAGCAACGATTGCTGTAAGATTTTCTTTCTTTTGTGATACGTTTCTTTGTCGTCTTATCGCTTTATTATGTTTTTGCTTTGCACCCATAATAATTATCGCTTCAGTTTGATACATCTAAACTAAAACTAGCCCGATATATCCCACCTGGAGGTGGGGTCCCCCGGGGAGATGTGCAGTCTAGAGATGTAAAAAAAGCCCAAGACCAGCTTGAAAAAAACCGGGCCTAGTGAGCCAGAATCCCGGTCCAGGCCAGGAGGCCTCAAATCCTGACCAGGCCAAAATTTTGAGGGCAGGCCTAGGCCCAACTCGAAAAAGCCCGACCTGGAAAAGCCCAAAAAGTCTGGCCTGACAAAACCCGATTGGTCCCTTTTTCAACCCTGAAGCCTGGTCTGGGCCTAAAAGATCCCGTGCCCTTTTCTTTGCTCATTGAAAACGTGCTTGGAAGACCCGAGCCCAGGTCCGAAAAAGCATAGAGCGATTGAATTCGTAAAGATTAAACATTGAAAAGTTATATTGCTTCAACCGGTTATCCGGGTACTTAAATGTTTAAAACTGTACATCTTATGTAACAAAATGGAAGTTTTGAAAATACGTTACCCAAAATAGGAATCAAGTTAAAGTAAAAATTATAGAGAATAGATTCTAATCTACTACCCTAGTCTTAACATCTCCAATTCTGTTCAAATACATCTCCATTACCAAAATCATTTTACTTAAGAGAAAAAAATGTAAAATCATTGCGATTTCAATTCTCGTGTACGGATGACAAGTTTTCGCTTGAATATACAGTTAGCGACACATAAAAATGCGGTCGGGGTTGCTCTTGGAGCTACGATCGGACACACCATCTGTACATCTGTAGCAGTAATCGGGGGAAGCATGCTAGCATCAAAAATCTCACAAGGCACCGTTGCCACAGTCGGGGGCTTGTTATTCCTCGGTTTTTCGTTATCGTCCTACTTCTACCCTCCTCTATAACAAACCGATTTGAACTTTTAGGCACGATCGGTGTTGGTTCCATATATTTTTCCACAGCTTCTTTTGCTGTCTCTATATAAAAACTATATAAGTTTTATGGGTAAGTTTTAATTTTTTTTTATGTATTAGTATTATATGTTAACAACAATTAAACATTATATTGATGGATATTTTGACCCATTAAAACAATGGTGGGAATTCTTTAATCTACCCTTAATCCAATATACAATTCCATGGTTAATGACTTGTATGTAGGTATAATAATTAGAGTAAGCGTCCGTTTACGTTTACTGAATGCTTACCCAAGTCAGAACTTACTAGTAAATTCAACATTATTACTTACTTACCGGGTAAGATTTCAGTCTACAAAAAGGGTATTGTATGCAACAATTTACCTAGTAAGATTCGTCGCCCTCACTTACGGGGTAAGTCTCTCGGTCCTTATTTTCGCTGTTACTGGGTAAGATTCTTGGTTTTTGTGATATTCGTCTGGTAAGGTAATGTTACATGGTAAACGTTTACCTGGGTAAGCGTTTCGTAAATGTCCCCCAAATTTTGAGTTTGGCTCCAAAGGTCAAAAGTATCAGAAGGTCTCATGTTCAAATCTAAGGAGGAATAAAAATCCCCTTGTGGCCATGGAGGTTCAAATGCGGTGACGCCGGGATATCTGCAAAGCAGATGGTCGCCCTGTAATTAGTCGGTTCGCATAGCGGGTTGGATATCGAGGTTAATAAAAAAAATGTCTCCTAAATTATGTTTTTCATCCCTGTGGTTTGTTAAAAATTGCGATTTTTTTTCCTATGGTTTTGAAGTTGCAGGTTTTGTTCTTATGATTTACATTTTATTGTTATTTTGGTCCTTGTGGTTTATGGTTTGTTATTGTTTTGGTTCCTATACTTTAAATGTAGGAATTAGTTCAGAGACGAAAAGGCGATAAATTGTAAACCATAGGGACGAAAATTACAATTTCTGAATCAGAGGGACACAAATTGAAAATTATTAACAAACCACGGTACGAGTCTCGTAATTTACTCTTTTAAGAATTAATTGATTCGACCCGTTATATGGTTTAATGGTTTCTGTCATGACTTAATTCTTGTTAAGGTCGATCACCGGTTTATTAATTTTCAAATATATTGGATAAATAACAAATCTTGATGTCCCAACTATATCAGATATTGTCTGTTTTGTTCATATATGGACTTATGGTTGTAAACCACATTTAATAGATGAGGTATTTAGTCTCTTATAAGGTAATATTTGTTCAAAGTAATAGACTAATCCAATAACTTCAAATCCAATTCAAAATCAATTCTTTAGCCAAAGAGTCACATCTTATAACATTAATAATTTAATTTTAAAATATACTAGTATAATTTTAATTAATAGTAAAAAAATATTAATTATAATATATAAACAGGTCTGTCCATATTTATTTTTACATTGTCCATGTTCGTCCGTTAATGCTAACGAACAAATCTAGACCCATTAATTTTTCTCAATAATGGTTGTCTAAGTCCGTATTTCTAATGGGCCAGATGAACCGGATCTAACGGGTCATCCCGCCCGTAAATAATGCATATAACAATGCTCTTATTTATTACGAGGCCCGACCACCTTAAATATATTTGCTTTATGTTTATTTTGGTCCTCATTTATAGCAAAAGCCTAGGGACTACTAACTAGTCACCCCTTATTTATGAGCTTTGACATTATACCATTCACCCATGCCACCAATTATACATGTCCCATAAACTCTTGCTTTTTTATATTAAATATTTAATAAAATAAATTGTATGAAAAAATAACGTACTTTAACTTGATTTTTATTTTGATAATATACTTTTATAACTTTCATTTTGGTACCTAAGATGTAATGTTTTAAACATTTAAGTATCCGGGTAATCGGTTGAAGACTACTTTTAGATTAAAAAAAATCTATGTCATTAACCACATCAGCAAATAATACTGAGTTGGATACCACATCACTCGCCACATCAGCATGATAACCGGTTAATGCTTAAACCGATTACCCAGATACTTAAATGTTTAAAACTTTACATATTAGGTAACAAAATGGAAGTTTTGAAAGTACGTTAACCGAAATAGGAATCAAGTTAAAGTACGTTACTTTTTTTTATGCAATTTGCCCTATTTAATAACGTAAAATATAAATTTAAAAATATTTCTTAACCTAAAATAAGAGACTTGTCGTAATGTTAATTCTTGTCATTAGTGTTTGTTTTGAGTATTAATCAGTATTTCTGAAATTAGTCGAGATGTACATAAATTGATCTGAATATTCACGGTTATTGATTAACGAAGAAAACTTAATAGACTATGATTTAACCTAAATGATGGTGAAGTCACAATTCAAGACTTGGTAGGAGCTCATGAATTTCAATGCCTGTTCACTGCAATCAAAGTCAAGTGGTAACGAGCAAGAAAACGGACAAAACATAAAGCATCATTTTCTTTCAAAGATATGAAGTGGGAACCCGATCTCCAGAAGCTAATTGGCAAGGTTCGGCGTTGTGCTGTGTGAAGTGAACTGGTTATCCTAAGTTAAGTGCTTCCTTCTCATCCACTTTAAGGTCAGGTCGAAGCAACACGTTTTCCTGTTCCAATAGAGGTATGGAAAAGGGTTGGGGGCAATGGAGTTAGCTAGGTCGTTTTCTTGGGGGCGGAAAGTCCCCTACTTAAATTCTTGATATCTTCGTCATCCATACTCATCATCATCCTTGTTTATCAGTGATACAAGATTCATTTCAGATATCGTAAATACCCCATCAGGGACTCATCATCCTCGACGAGATTTGCCCACCATTCTGATGTCACGAATATCAGCTTTGATACAAGTTTGTAGTGCCTCAAAAATTCAAATTACTCCACCATTTCCGGATTCATCACTAAAATAAGAATGAACTGCAGATTTGGTCCTTATTGTTTGTGTAAATAACAATTTTTGTTTCTACAGTTTTGAAATTACAAAATGACCACCATGGTTTGTAAAAACGTCTGGATTTAGTCCCTCCCTCTAACAGTTGTTAAAAAAATTCATTAAATAATAAAATATTTTCGTTCTTTTATCTATTTTTTTTTTGTCTTTTACCCATCAAAAATCAAGCCATAATCACAAAATCAATCAATTTTATTCGGGAAAAAAAATACAAAAATATCTCCTTATTTAACAAAATTAACAACCATTAAAGGGAAGACCAAACTCAAACGTTTTTACAACCATGATGATCATCATGTAATTTCAAAACTGCAGAGACAAAAAACAGTTATTTCGTACAAACCGCATAAACTGTCAGATTTCGGAAACCGAATATCAAGATACTTGGGTAATTCAAGGATCGTGTATAAAACACTTTCCAAAATATGTGATTTCGACCTTATAGCCTGGGGTACCACGAAATCAGATTTGGGATAATCCAAGGATAACGATCCGGATTTCAGGCAAAATCCAAGATCAAACACATAATTTCCTTGCTTGTTTATGTACCTTAAGAGACAAATTCCAACAAAGTAACAACATGCACAAAGATCGTCACACTGCAATTATCGAATCAAAATCTTATTTATAGCCACCGATGGTTAAGTCGGTTATTTTGGTGGGAGTCGTGTTTGCCCGTTGGACCCCGCTAGGGGTGCTGCCCCCGGACCCCCGCGTACCCGAGACCAACTTAACTTATCCGAGCATGCACTCCGCATCTCCGGATTGAAATTTAGTTAAGTCTAATTTCGATTTGTCTCACATTAATCCTTATCATACTAAACGACTTGATGACACTAAAATCACCGATATAAAAACATATAAAATCTTTTTATATAAAATAATTGAAATTGTTTTAATATGTAAATACCAAGTGTAACTTATATCATCGTTAAATATTCTCTAATAAAACCAGTAAAACTTCAAAACAGTTAAAATTCACGGCTCTCATCGCACTGCACGGATAGACAACTAGTATTAAATAATTGAAATTGTATGATTCAATTGTTTTTTATTTAGAGGGAAAAAAGAGGGTTGTTGAAGAGGTTTTGACATTATTGCATTCACCCACACTCCCATTTATGCCATGGAAAAAGTACTCCCCTCCACCTACATTCATTCATTCATCATCTTCTTCTACAAATTTCTTCCAAAATTCAAAACCCCCATTTCAAATTCCTTCCAGATTTCAGTTTTGATTTGATCCCGTTACGATTTCCCTACATTCGCATCTATACGGATCACACCAAACCAATCTGTATCGAATAAGATGTTCATCAATGGCGTTCTTTGTTCTCTCTTCATTCTCCTCGCCGGAATTCAATTCTCCGATGTAAGTCGTCCTCCATCTCTTCGATCACATCGTTTCGATGATTTTGTAGTTTAATTTCGTGTTTGTTGTAATCTGAAGGCCAATGAGATGGCGGTGGTGGAGAATTCCACGGCGGAGGAGATGACGATGGTGCCGTGGATTGAACATGAAAAAGGAGGAATGATGGGGTTGGTGTTGAATGATAGTCGCCGGAAACTTGGTAGTTTTCAGATTTGCTCGTTGTGCACATGCTGTGCCGGCGGTGGCGGTGGTGGTGGAAAAGGGTACTGTTTACCTTCTCCTTGTTGTTATGCTATCAATTGCAATATTCCAAATCGGCCGTTTGGATTCTGTTCTTTTACTCCGAAAACTTGTAATTGCTTTCGATGCCATCTATAAACCCTAATTTTGATTTTGATTTGATTTTTAGGGGTTTTGGTTGAATTTGGTTCTTGTGATCACAATTAATTATTTTATATTTATTAGAATTTTGGATTAGGTTGATGTGAGCCCAAACGGGCTATCTTTAATGAAATTTGAAACTTTATAGCAATAAAATATTGTGAATGTAGAAGTAAATTGCATGTAAAAGTAATGTATTTTAACTTGATTTTTGTTTTGGATAATGTATTTTTAAAACTTTCATTTTAGTACCTAAACCGTAAAGTTTTAAATATTTAAGTATCCGGGTAAAATGCCTACCTCGTGCCGAAGAGTCAGCGGATGAGTTATGGTTAGGGGTGAAATGTCTGGTCTGAGAGGATGATCAGCCACACAGGATGCAAAGGATTCCTCAGATCGGACGAGATTGAATTATTCGTGGTTGTTTTGGAGATAAGATGCATATAAATATTTTCAAGAGAGACTGTTTTTGAGAACTATTGACTTGCGAAAAAGATTTGGGGACAAGGACGGTAGATTGTATTTGTTATAGGGGTGTTCAAAAAAACCGTTAGACCGCTCAAACCGGCCAAATCAAGTCAAACCGGACCGTTTTTGGCGGTTTGAGCGGTCTGACGGTTTGGTTTGGAAAATAGCAAAACCGGGCGGTCCGGTCCGGTCTGGGGTCTGGAACCTTTTTTTGGGCGGTTTGGACCAAACCGACCGCCATATATATATATATATATATAATTTAATTATTTATTTTAGTATTAACAAGTACTACTTTTTTAACTTATGGAATATAGCTCAAATATATCACTAAACCTAACATAAAACCTAACATCTAACATAATCGAGATGGATATTTAAAGTTATAAATTATATATGTTTTTTAAGTTTAATATTTGAAGTTCATTAAAGGTCCAAACCGTCTTTTTATGGTCTGATTTGACCGTTCTGGACACTTGATGTCAAACCGCTCGGTTTGAAAATTTTATAAACCGCCATTACGATTTGGTTTGTGGTCTGAGGGGTTAAACCGTCCAAACCGGACCGTGAACACCCCTAATTTGTTAGTAGCTTAACGAGACTTACAATTTATACGGTCATTTATAACATGATTGTTTGATAGTGGCTTAATGATATATGCAGTGACTTATTTAGTAAGCTTTTAGAGGAAACTTTATATAGAAAGTTATAAATCTACCCCTCCCAATTAAAATTTTTGCTCCTTCCATCTATGAAGGAACTCTCACAAACAAAAGTTTTTCCAAACTATACGGAAAGATTACTCCACACAAACAGTTTTATTCATATAAGACTTCGTGGAAACCCAACCAAACAACCTCTTAAGCCTGCAAGAATCTATCTAGTAGACATTAGGGGTGCTTAAAAACCCGACCAACTCGATCAACCCAACACAACGCGAAATAACTCAACCAGATGTCTAATCGAGTTATAAATTTTTTGTCAATTACACTATCACGTACGCTCTTCATATACACATATTTCAATTTATTCATATCTATATATAACTCATTCGTATATATGTTCAATAACCGTGAACATATATATGTAAATTGAGAWAATTAACTAAATGTGATATAACTCATTCGTAWATATGTTCAGTAACCGTGAACATATATAYGTAAATTGAGAAAATTAACTAAATGTGATATAACTCATTCGTAWATATGTTCAGTAACCGTGAACATATATAYGTAAATTGAGAAAATTAACTAAATGTGATATAACTCATTCGTAWATATGTTCAGTAACCGTGAACATATATAYGTAAATTGAGAAAATTAACTAAATGTGATATAACTCATTCGTATATATGTTAAGTAACCGTGAACATATATACGTAAATGGAGAAAATTAACTAAATGTGATATACGTAAGAAGTATTGATAAGTTGTATCAAGTGGTTGATGATGAAACGAAAATTATAAGTAAAAAAACAACATATTCAAGGTTGGAATAATATTTTAATGTACTAAAGTATCAACCCGTACGGTTTGGGTTGGGTTAGATTAAGATTTTTCAAACCGTAATCATTGGGCTGGATTATTCAAATATCCTCAACCCAACCATGAGCACCCTAGGCACATGGGCCACTCGCCTACCCCCAATTTGTCCTATCAATTCTCCGTTCTCATTGTTGAAGTCCAAAGTTTCATGCGAATTGGCCAAACCATCTCAGTTTTCCATCTCTCAATTTATAAGAGACAGTATTCTCATCATGGCATCCGTAGTGCACTGTGACTCAAGACTTATATCTGACGCTACATTAAGTTTGTAAGACACCATGTCTCAAGGCTCAATGTATGCACAAGCTGACCCGAATATATATGGAAAAAAAAACCACTTGAAAACAACAAGAGGACGTTAATTCTTGAAAACATATATCATTAAATAAAAGCTAACGAGCGACCATTTGTCTCCTCCGAATACCCTTGCAGACATGGTTGAATCGATTAAACGATCCCCTTTCATTCTGGGGTGACGAAGGGATCATACCATTTTATCCGTTGAGCGACGGCCCTTCCACTTGGCAAATCTTGGTTTTCGTTTTCCTTGTGATGGGCCTGGAAAGGGGGGGGACATCGGGGATCCCTGGGGAAGAGGATCAAGTTAAGACGTGGTGGTGGTAAATCCCCAATCGGCTGAATCAATGAAATACAGAGTGTAGATTACATTTGAAAGTCGAATCAGACAAAAACTTCTGTTTTTATAAAGATCGAACTGCAACAAAGATGGATAATGTAATGTCCTAACATATGTTTGTTGTTACTTCTAAGTAGCATATATCTCTACCCCCACTACCTTAATTTGTACCTAAAAGTTGGTAGGATTATCATCAATTAAGCCCATTTACTCAATCCAACAATTATTGTGAAGTATATGGGTTGTGTCTGATTAGTTAAAGCTTAGGCTTCAAAGGTTAAAAGTGTCTGGAGGTCTTAGGTTTGAATTCAAGGAGGAATAAAAATCACCTCCTGGCCATGGAGGTTCAAATGTGATGATTCCGGGCTACCCGTAAAGAGGGTGGTTGTCCTGAGATTAGTCAGTTCGTATAGCGGATTGGATATTCAGGGTAATAAAAAAAATATTATGTAGTATTTATTTATTAAAAAGTTTAAAGTGATAACAAAAGATTATATATATATATATATATATAGAGAGAGAGAGAGAGAGAGAGAGAGAGAGAGAAAGAGAGAGAGAGAGATGAGGTTAACTTTGCAAACCATCCATTTCATACAAACCTTACAAACTATTTACATTCATCTATTTTTTTTTATTAGAGGCCAAGATTGAAACAAACTAAATAAGTAAAGTAAAAAAAAAAAGAATTCATATTGGAGACACGAAAGGGCAAAACGGGAGAAAACATTTATATGAACCTGTTTCATTACAGCTGTTATACATATGAACTTGTTGCATTACAAACTGTTATACATGTCTATGAATATAAACTCGTTTCACTACATCTGTTATACATATGAACCTGATGCAATCATATATGACCATGTTTCATTAAACAGTTTGAGCCTGTTTCATTGATGTTAATAAGTATCTATTAAAAATATACCAGTTTCAAGATTATTATAAAAACAAATTGATTGATCATTTCCTAAAAAACCTCTAATCTATATAATCTTCCCGATTTAGACACAATTAAAATATTACTAAAATTATCTATTATAAAGTTAAAGGACAATCATACCCTTATAAATTAAAAATAAAGAAAACTAAATGAAATTATGTTATTGGTTGATGCTAGTTTGTACAATTTATACAAAAGGGAGCGGTTTGTATATGATCGTTCCCTTCTCTCTCTCTCTCTCTCTCTCTCTATATATATATATATATATATACACACACACAATCACACATGTATGTGTTTATTTAGTGATTTTAACAATAATAATATCATCTTATTGAAGAAAAACTTTTGCCCAAAGAAGAAAATTGATAGTTGAAGCTTATTCGGGGTATGCTTTTGCCTCTTTTACGCTTGAAACTGTAGTTCAGATTATTCAATACGTAAGCGTTTGTTCTCGTAAATACCTCCAATTGCACAAAGATTCTATCAAAGTGTTTTTACATCTAATTTTTGTGATGAAAAGGGAATGTGAAGTATTCCAATGAGTTGTTTTCGTATGAATTTAAATACTATGATTACATACGAACATATGGATGCATCAAGATTTAGCAAACCAAACGGACCTAATGAATCCCTCGTGAAAGGGAGTTTAAAGAGGGCAGGATGTATGCAAACTTTCTGAATACGTTGTTTCCGAACTTGTAAAGAAGTGTATGCAAGCAAACGTGGGATATGTATAAATAGGTAGATCGATTATGCTGAAGTAACGTTATGACATAAGATTAAACAAGAAATATGGTTAGAACAAGTGATGTCGGGAGTCTATTTTGGTAATTTCACATGTAATATTATTTTGAAAAAGTAAGTTAAAAGTGAAGTGGCATGAATGGTGTAGGTTTTTTTTTTTTTTTTTTGGGTAATCTCACATGTAATATAAAATTAAGTTAAAGTAAAGTGATGTTCGAAGGGTATTTTGGTAATTTCACATGTAACGCTATTTTTGGAAAATTAAATTAAAGCAAAGCGACATGAAAATTGCCGAAATTTGAAGGGTGGTTTGGTAATTTCACATGTAATATTAAATTGAAAAAATTAAATTAAATATCATGAAATGGTGATGCTGCAGGGGTATTTTGGTAATTTTACACGTAAATATTATTTGGAAAACAAAAAACTGCATGAATGGGGTGATGTTAGGACTTAGGAGGGTATTTTAGTAATTTCAATTTTGCAAATATAAACCACCACATTTGGGTCAAAGCCAGAAGAACAAACGAACCCCACCCATTTTCATGGCAGCAGCAGCAGCTTTGATGATAATGGTTCCACCATTGAAACCCTCTCAAGCACTTACCCTCACCTTCCCTCTCATCTACAAATCCTCACTAAAACCATCTTTAACCAAAATGGCTCTTCATATCACCGCCTCCGCCTCCGCCTCCGCCTCCGCCATCACTAATCGAAAGCTTCCCGTTTTGTTGTTCGACATAATGGACACAATTGTTCGCGACCCTTTTAATCACGACATCCCTGCATTCTTCGGGTATGTTTTTTTGGTTTCAATTTCAGAATTACTATCGAGTTTTTCATGAAGATCGATTGGTCAACTCAATTTGCTGAGTTTATCCCCTCTCTACAATAGTAATTTGGATGAACGAATCATATGCGATTAAGTAGATATTTTGAATTCCAAACTGGAGAAGTTTACTGTTCACATCTCCGAGGTGAAGTGTAGTATGTTTCAATTCAATTTCCCTTATTTGATGTGGGTTCTCGTTACAAATTCGAACCTATTTATCTGTTTTAGGGGTTATTATTCATGAAGTTTGATGTGGCTACCAAGTTTACGGTGAAATTTTGATGAGATTATATCGATTGACATTGAAAATGGTTAATATTTTTGGTTTTGGGATCAATTTGGGATAGGTATAGTAAGAAATTAAGCGATTGCAATGGAAGAAAGATACTTTTAGATAATTATTACAGTTTATGGATGTCGACAATGTTGGTGTTCTGAGAATGGAACTTGTTGGCTTATTTAGAGAATGGTTTCAGAATTTTATTGAGTAGATGGGTTCTTGTAAGGTTGAAATAAGTTGTAATGAATGCTTATATATATATATATATAGAGAGAGAGAGAGAGAGAGAGAGAGATTCAAGGGAAAACCCCAAAAAATGAAAATTCTAGGAACACCCTAATAACCGTTCATTTGTACGGTATGCACATGTACATACAAGTACATAAGATGTTTCCTGGTTTCTATGCACCTGTGCATACCGGAAAAATTACTCACAAGTTACATATATGCACATGTGCATACCATACAGATGAACGGTTACGAGGGTGTTCCTCGGTTTTTCATTTTCTTGTGGTTTTTCCCTAGAACCTCTTTCTCTCTCGCTCTCTCTCTCTCTCTCTCTCTCTCTCTATATATATATATATATATATAATAAGCTAAAAGTTTATGTTTAGTAATGAAATTGGTATGGGTTAGTCCCTTTGATTATGTAAGTAGGGATAAGTGTGCATGTAGCTATCCATGGATTGGGCACATGGACTGGAATTCTTGTTGGGTTGTATTCGAGCAGAAGTGATGGGGTTGTTGATTGTGCTTATTCATGGCTAGTGTTTTTGGTTTTATGAACTATGAAATCCCACATCGGTTGGAGGGAACAAACGTTGCAATATAAGGAACTTGATACCTCCTTTATTAGACGCGTTTTAAAGCCCGAGTCCGAGTGTGGATAAAGCTGATAATATTCCATACGATTGGTTTGGGATGTTACACGAACACCGTGACACTTTCTTTTCTCCATATTGTTTTGCAAATCAACACACACACCCACATGGGAATTTGAATTGCATATGCCCATAAGAAAGTGATTATCATTGTGTTTTCACTTGGTAAACATTTTAGACATCGTATGTCTTGTTGCTTCCAACTTGTGCCACTTATGTTTGTTTTCGTGAATTGCATCAAGATTTTCAGTTCGTGAGTATGCATCAAATATCCTTTTAGAATCCGTATGAAGATGAGGATTCATTTAAAATTCAGAGCTTTATTATGATGCTTTTGAATCTAATATGCTTTCTCTCTCTTAGTTGAGTAGTATGCATATCTTATGTACAATTACCAAATGCAACCCCGATTTTTTTGTTAGGTTTAATTTTTGTCGCACTTTTATCAAATTGAGATGTTTTACTCAGAATGTCGATGAAGGAACTATTAGAGTGCAAACATCCTACAGCGTGGATTGAGTTTGAGAAGGGTCTCATTGATGAGGTATAGTTGAACACTATTCATATCACTATATTTGCAGCTTTGCCCATTTGAAATGAACCCCTGACCTCCCGGGAGACCAAAGGCCCGGATACCGCTAGGCCAAAGCCCCTTTTAGGGTTCCTGTTGTTGTCTTCCAAATCCTAACTACTACTTGTACAAGAATGGTTGTTGATCTTTCGTTCCTTTATCAACCCCACTAAAGTTGTACTTCATATACCTTGTTTGGTTCAAGCTTAATCTACGGCTTTAGATTGTAAAGCGTTCCTCTTGACATTAGGGCCATTTGGTTGGTTTTTAATTAAGTTTTGTATGAATAAAGTTGTCTGTGTGGATTAATCTGTTTGTATAGATTGGGAAGGTTTTTGTTTGGGAGGGTTTTTCATAGATGAAAGGAGCGTGTTTTTTTAATTTGGAGGGGTATGTTTGGAAAAAACTTGGCTTTCTGCATAAAGCTCCCCCTAAAAGCTTATTGAATAAGCCACTTTATCATTAAGCCACTACCAAACAATCATGTATAGTTGACCTAATAAGTTGTGATTCTCATTAAGTTGCTAACAAACGAGCCCTTAATCTCATTGATCAACATTAAAAATCATCGGCAAAAAACATACACCATGTATAGAATATATGTATAAGGTCAGGTTCGGACAAAAAGGCGGTCATTTTCCAAGAAGACGAGAAATTCCAAGATCACAATTCACACATGATCTAATACGAACATGTATTCGTATATGACACTTTCAAATGTGGCCGACTTGGTGAACACGACCAAAGGTAGGGAGAAAGGTCACTCGCATGATCCTCCCCCTACATGAATATGCCCCCATGTACAAAGTGGTGTTTATGACTTATTCACAATGAATAGAATATTATGGTCACTTGAAATGTTGCTTACTTTGCTTATCTTATTAGAGAATATGTATTCTTTATTTTTTTCAGATGGAACTAGAAAGGATATTTTTTAAAGATGGAAGGCATTTTGACTTGGAAGGTGAGTGACAACATATTTATCAATCAATAGGATCATGGGTTTAATGCCAAATGATGAATCGTCAACGTCTATCATTAGGCAACGTACTATGATATAACTGTTATCTAGCAACACACTTTACCCCTATTTGTGCAAATTCAACAAATCATACTTTCACACATCACGGGGTCGGCCGAGATACTTTTTTTCGATTTTCCATTCTTATCTAGATGGAACTTTTTTTCCATCTTTTCGGTAATCACTTTTTTTCCTTTGCTAAGTAGATCTCTTGATTGTCGGTTTTTAGCCGCTTCATAGCTTATATTACTACGTCGATTTCAAAATAAATCGAATGTTAGTCAAGTATATATATATATATATACACACACATATATATATATGTGTGTGTGTGTGTGGTGTTTCCCACTAATGACAAAATATGGAAACTTATGTAGTACCAGATATTGTCCGCTTTATCCACACCTGGACTCACAGGGTTCTAGAATGTGTCTGATACACCTTATAAGGCAGTTGCAGTTCCCCTTCCCAACAGATATGGGATCTCACTGAACTCGATGATATCAATATTTTATAATGACTACAAATGGTTAATGTGGTAACTTGGGTTGAAACTTACCTGAAAAGGAGAATAAACCATTTAGATAGGACTCCATCAAAGCACATTGTTGTATTTACTTTGGGATGAAGGGAATAAGTGAGTAGTTGGGCACCTAGTGAGGCCTTAAGGCCATCTTTTGAAGTACATATAATATTTCTCAATACAACAAATGTAACAAATAGACTCACACATTCGTCTTTTGGTGAGGTTTGAACCCCTGACCTCCAGGCCAAAGACCCAGATACCGCTAGGCCTTGAGGGGTGAACATGAAATATGCGTGTTTCAATTTTTTTGCCGTTCTCTTTGCAAGCATATATTCTTTGTTCTTCTGTTATGATCGATGCAATTTGATAAGGGGTTATATAAATAGGGTTGGATTCAGAGGAAACCCACAAAAAATGGAAAACTGAGAAACACCATAATAACCATTCATTTGTCCGGTATGCATATGTGCATAAAAATAATTTGCCTGGTATGCACACATGCACAAAAACCAAGGAATATTAGGGTGTTTCTAAGTTTTTCAATTTTTTTGTGGTTTTTCCCTGAATCCGAGTCTATATAAATGTTATTGGGTCATCTCTCGCTTGTAATCTCTTAGTGATGACATTTGATTCCATTTTCAGGTCTCAAAAGTTGTATTTATCAAGGATACTCCTATTTAGAAGGCGTCGAAGAACTTCTATGTGCGTTGAAAGATAATGGCTATGAGATGCATGCTTTCACAAATTACCCAATATGGTATGGCTGAACTGCAAGGTTTGTCACATACTTATGTGTCAAATAAATAAACCCATATATATTCTTAGGGGCCGATTCAGATAAGAAGGCTAAATATCATGAGAAGGTAAAAAGGAAAGGTAAAGGGAATGTTCATATGTGAATCACTGAAAAAATCTATTTGAAGATGCATATGTAAATCCACTTGATGGGTTATTCATATGGGTTCACATATGCATCTTCAAATGGATTTTTTTCAATGATTCACATGTGAACCTTCCTTCTTACCTTCTCATGATATTTAGCCTTTTTATTTGAACCTCCCACTAAAATGAGAACTTGGTTTGATGATCTTAAATTGCTAATGAGTCGAGTTGATGAGTTTCATTGAGTTGTAAGTGATTACTGAGTTGAGTGGTTTGTTTAAGAGAATTTATGTTCTGCTCTGTCATGTCTGGTGTACCAAACGCACCCATAAGGAACCGAATACCTCCTTCATCAGACATGTTTCAAAACCGTGAGTCCATGTGTGGATAAAGCGATAAAACGAACAATATCTGGTACGGTTGGCCAGGGATGTTACAAATTACAAGGCATGTTAAAAACATAAAATTAATTGGCGAGAATTATATTTGCCGTTATATCCAAAGAGACGACAAGCTGCTATTCTGCTCCAAACCATTGCAATTTCGTGTATTTTTTTTTTCCATTTGTCGCTCGGCAACACCATTTTGGCTAAATTCTTTTTTGGCGGATCGATGAACGATGTGTAACTTTAGTGTATTGTTTTGTAGGTACAGAATGATTGAGGACAAATTAAAGCTTTCCTCGTACTTATCTTGGACGTTTTGTTCATGCATAATTGGTACGTATCAAACACGATTCACCTACTATTACATGCTTTATCTGACTTCCTTTCGGATCATGCATCCCGTCATGCTAAGTTAATGTATTTACGAACAAAAGAATCGAAAGTAAACCACTGGGTCGGCTTAGAGCGAGATATTATTTTGAGTTTTCGTGTTTGATGCCATATTTGGCTACCATTTTTCTCTAAATACAGGAAAACGGAAGCCTGATCCTGATTTCTATTCGGAAGTTTTGAAGCACCTTGACACCGAACCAAAAAATTGCGTCTTTGTTGACGACAGGTATTCTAGTTATATATATATATATATATATATATATATATATATATATATATAAAGAGAGAGAGAGAGAGGAAAATTCAGTTGCAAACCTAACTTCTGTTGTGAATCGGGAGACAAACGAGAGAGCGACATGTGTCCCTATTCATCATGGATAATGAATGTGAAGTTTTTACACCATTCAGGATGAATGTCCAGGACAAGTGTCGCGCTCTCTTTTGCCCATCAATCCATAATGGAACTTAGGTTCACAACTAAAAACCTCCCCCTATATATATAGTTGTGAACCTAAGTTCTGTTCTGAACCGGGAGACAACGGGAGCATGCAAAGTGTCCTTAATATTCATCATGAATGTTGTAAAAATTTCAGTTCATTATTCATGATGAATAGCGCATTTCATCCCCACAAACTATTGATGTCATTGCTTTTTCATTCACAATATTCCTTATTTTATCACAAGGGTATTTTCGGTGTCGTTCAATAGCTATTAAACTACATATAGAGTTAAGAGGGTGTTTGGGATTGCTTATTTAAAACAACTTAATGCTTTTTTTGTAAAAGTGCTTATTAACTTATGTGATATTAAACCGGAGTTAAATAAAACAGAGTTAAAATTGTAAATTGGTAATAAACAGTTTTTCATAAGTCAAGAAGGATTAACTTATCAAAAACAGCTTATTACCGGTTTGGCACCGGTATAAGCAGTTTTTTTTTCTTATCCAAACACCATAAAACAGCTTCTCACCGGTGTCAGACTAAAATAAGTTAAAAAACAGCTTTTATAAGCAATCTCAAACACCCCTTAAACATGTCGACTCCTCGTGTACACATAATGAAACCTATAGCGTTTGGCATGCAACAGGATAAAAAACGTAGATGCTGCAAAAGAAACCGGCATCAATGGTATTCAATTCAAGAATGCAGATTCGTTACGGCACGATTTGTCTCTTTTGGGTGTCACATTATAGGAGTGCAACACCAACACCTGGGAATGGGAACAGGATAGGGAGGGGATTCGTTCCCACCGGGTATGGGAACTGAATCCCCTCCAACAAAAACACATTTGATTCAGACTCCATTTAAACATGTCTTTAACAACTTTGTTATACAAAAAAGCCCTCAAATAAGATATTTTTGAATTAAGCTAAATATGTTTAATTAAATAGCAAATTGCATGGAAAAAAAACGTACTTTAATTTGATTTCTATTTTGAGTAACGTATTTTCAAAACTTTCATTTTAGTATCTAGGATGTAAAGTTTTAAACATTTAAGTATCTAGGTAATCGGTTGAATCAGTAACCAGTTATCATGCTGATGTGGCAAGTGATATGGTATCCAACTCAGTATTATTTACTGATGTGGTTGGTGACATAGATTTTTTTAATCTAAAATTAGTCTTCTACCGATTACTCATGTACTTAAATGTTTAAAACTTTACATCTTATATACCAAAATAGAAGTTCTGAACATTACCCAAAATAAGAATCAAAGTAAAGTACGTTATTTTTTCATGCAATTTGGCCTTACAACTAGTATGAGTTACAACCTATACAACTCGAATGCTTTCGTGCCCACATCAATCAACGATGACGAAACTTCTTGTTTCCACGTGATCGAATCAACCCGGTGTAAAACAAGCTTTTGATACATTTGCACGATGCTACCGTTGCTTCGATATTGAGGCTTCTGATGTTGTTAAAGTACGGAGGATAGATTGAGCACGAATCAACTCCTCTCGAAGCATCACATTGTATTCGTATAACTTTTCGATGTTTTTCTCGACTTCTGAAGCACTTACTTCTGTCCCACCTACGGTTTCTGCTCAATACCAACATGGATAGAAATTAGATTTACGAGTTAAGTTCCTTATAAGCTCAAAGTTGTGAGCTACCAGTAACTTCCATTCAATTTGGAGATTATTGAGTTAGACTGTTGCTTTGGGCCACGGGATGTTACGTCTCGTATTTTATGTTTCAACCCGACTTTTGACCGACGCTTCTACTTTCCAGCCAAGGAAAATAAAACCGACATTATCTTAATGCTCATCGAGGGTAAATGCTCAGGAAACGTCAAGTCTTTTACTACGAAAAAGACGGTCAAAACATGATATACATGTTATACTCACTTCGTCCAAAAACAAGTGTCCATCTTTTAATTTTAGTTTATCTCAAAATAAGTGTCTACTTTCAAAAGTAAGAAGTTACATTCCAATTTTACCCTTAATTATGAGATGGAGAAATACATTACCTTCTCTGGCATTACGGGTAAACTTGTCATTTTTATCAATTGAAAACGTGGAATAATTACACATTTTTAAAACTGTGAGTCTTTTTCATTATGAACGTGTGTTTCGAGACAGAACGAGTATAAACCAAACAAACTCGGTGTATCCCACTTAGAGGTAGAGTCTAGAAGGTAAGATGTATGTGAACTGTTTCCGAGAAGACTGGTTTGCAAAAAAGGTTTCGAAAGCATCGGTACGAGCCGCATTTTTGCAAAAACTCAGGGAAAAAAAGGTAAAAAGGGGCCAAGGGGAGAATTTTAGCTGAAAATCGGCCAATAAAGGAAAGTTTGCGGTTACTATCGGACATTTCAAAATAAAATTTGTTGCAACGAACTTGACGGTTACCTAACGAAGGTGGCAAGGGTATACCGTTAGCAACAAAGGCCAACGGTCGTTGCCTAGGTGCATCTCCGTTACTCAAGCGAATAGCATCATTTTCTTTCGTTTCTTCTGCATATTTCACTTCACCCGACCCCTCTTTTTGCGCCACCTGGAGATGAAATGAATATAAGCATGAACTCGAAGCCTTGATTCTTGAACTCAGTATAATCCCACCTGGAGGTGGGGTCTGGGGAGGGTAAGATGTACGCAGACATGACCTCTACCTCTGGTTTCCTAATCGGCTAATAGTTGTTATAAATAGAACTATTAAGCGTATTTGGTCTTGAAATGTGTAGTAAACAAGTTTTCGACATTGTATGGCAAAAGCTCGACGTTATGACAATTTCCGGGCTAAAGAAAAAAGTAAATTGACTAAACTGCCCTTATAAAATTTATTTTGCATAGCGCTCATCAAGAGCTTTGTCCAAAAACACAAGTCTATGACCGGAAAGGAAGACCAAAAAGTGATCAGGTGCACCAGAACTACTTGGCTCGACGGGACGACCAGGGTGCCCGAATACACCTCGGCTCGTCCCAGGGTGCACCAAGGCTCGTTGGCTTTACGACCATAAAGCAAAAAATCACTAAAAGAATTAACCAAAATATTGCAAAACGTATCTCGAATAAAGAATTTAATACTTACTTGGTCGGAAAATATCTCCTCCGGCATCGAAGCAGAATCAACAAAGGAACATGCCACCTCTTCGGTTCGAACTTGCTCTAGACTGCACTTCTGTGAAAAAATAAAAGATAAAGCTCGATAATAAATCTCGTAATACGCAAATTGGCCACGAGAAAACGACGTAAGTAAATTCTCGCCTTTTCATAGGTTCCGCTAACTTTAGTGTTAAAACTGATTGTATCCTTTCCTATCTGTTGCCTCCTTTTAAACGATGATCCTTCATTTCCATGTGATTTGGTCAATATCCCCGAGCAGCAAGCTGTCTCCGCAATCGTTACATCTTCAGGAGGCAACCGACCACGACCCCATGTAAAAATTACGTACTTCCGCAACTGGTTGAAACATTAAGCAACCAAAACACACATTCGGAATGGTTCAAACTCGATGAACTAGAATGCTACAAAGTTTGGTGTAGTTCTTATTTAGTGTAACAAATAATTTTTTGAGTAAATTACATTTTTTGTCCCTGCGGTTTGTTAAAAATTGCGGTTTTCGTCCCTGTAGTTTAGAAATTGCGGTTTTTGTCCCTATTGTTTGTAATTCATTGCTACTTTTGTACTTATAATCTACAATTTGTTGCTGATTTGGTCCATGTGGTTTACAATTCTTTACTGTTTCGGTCCCTTGTACTTTAAAGGTAGAAATTAGTCCGGGGACAAAAATAGCAATAAACTGTAAACCATAAGGACGAAAATCGCAATATCTAAACCACATGAATGAAAATCGAAATTATTGACAAACCACACTGACGAAAATAGTAACTTACTCTAATTTTTTATTCTCAATCAATGTAATATTTCTTTTACCCATTTTGACCCGTAACCGGCTGATCTTATAAGAGCACCCACATGGGGCTTGCAAATGGATTGCAAATTCAATTGCAAATACATTTTTGAAGATGCTTGCTGCCATGTAGGATTTTGAATTGCAAAATTTGCAATTCAATTTGAAAGCCATGTGGGCACCAACCTCCTCTTCAATTTCTTTTTTTTTTATTATTTAAATAAATTAATTTTTATAATATTAATATATTTATTAATTACATTAATTATTTTTATATGAAAATATTCTATGCATGTATATATGTTATTTAAAAAAATATAAATATAATATAACTAAATTAATTTAAACATTAAATTTTATAATTACATAAAATTATAATCTAATATATAAAATTACATATAACTAACATAAAACACGCACGACTAACAAATAAAACATGAATTAAAATAAAACATGTTATTAATTAAAAAATAATTAGAATGTATATATAAATAATTTATAAAATAATTAATAAATGTTGTAGTGGGGACCACTTTTGAAAGTGTAGGTGAATTGCAAGTGTGTAGGTGGTAATTGCAAAAGCTGACGTGGCACAATTGAAAGTGTTGTAGGTGAATTGCAGGTGTATGGAAGATAATTGCAAAAGCTGATATGACACAATTGAAAGTGTAAATGGATTGCAGGGATGTGGATGGTCTAACATTTGACATGGATGTCAAGCTTATCGTCCGGTTCCCTATATATATATATATATATATATATGTATATATATATATGTATATGTATATATATATGTATATATATATGTATATGTATATATATATGTATATATATATGTATATGTATATGTATATATATATGTATATGTATATATATATATATATATGTAAAGTGGTATCCACGTCATCAAATGTTACAAGATCAGGTGACCAGTCACTGGTCAAATGGATAAGAATGGGAAAGTTTGAAACTTTGTTGCATTTTGCCGTGCTTTAAATAGGAGAACTAACCTCATCCCATCGTTCTTGTGCTTTCCTACGATTTCTAATCCTTCTCATTACACTATCCTCGTGGCGCAACTTCTTGAATCTGTATTCAAACTACACGACAATTTGGAAGACGCTTAAATGGGTTTCGTTTGTAATCTTAATAAGAAAAAAGCAGCATTCAAAGTTTGGACAAGTGACATAGCCAGTATGGGGTCTTCACCGAAACAGCCGTTCTATTGTCAGGCGTAGATGATAAGTCTGTGTACATCCCACTACCCGGGCCCCACCTCTAATTGGAATCACTAGTAATCGCGAATCAGCATGCAGCAGTGAATATGTACCCGAGCCCTGTACACACCGCCCGTCACACCTGAGAATAGGTTTTGCCCGAAGCACCGGACCAATGATCACCATGACTTCTGTGTACCACTAGTGCCACAAAGGCCTTTAATGGTCTTATTGGCGCCCCCCTTTCTGGTGGGGGGAAGACCACTCACTAGCCTCCGGATTCGTATAATCTATCAGTGAAACTTTCAGGCTCGTTTGGTTTGCAAAATTCCGGTCCAGGCCAGGCCTCAAAGCCTAATCAGGCCGAAATTTTGGAGGCAAGGCCCGACCGAAAAAGCTTAGAAAACCCCGGTTAAGCCCAAAAAAGCCTGGCCTGAAAAGCCCGATTGGTCCCTTTTTAAACCTCAAAGCGCGGTCCGGGACTATTTTTCTCACTAAAAACGGGCTTGGAAGACCCGGGCCTTGTGCATCTCTAGTTCATATAAGCTCATTGAGCTTGGATTCTAAGCCAACTCATTAGGCTCGTTGAGTAGCCGAAACCAGCATATAAGAGGCTAAAAAATCCTCCATTTATCAATCTAAAACCGTAAAACATATAAATAATTCATTTCAATATGGGAGTGAAGGAAAAACGAGTATCGTATTTGAAGTGGATGAGATGCGTACTTGTACCAAAAGGTAGAAAAAGAGGCCGATACTAACGCAATAAAGGCCGCCCAAATCAGCAAGAAAGCGGACTGCATGCATGGAAAAAAAGATAAAAATATATTACTATTAACACAAATCTAACATATGATAGCAAATAGAAATCTGTATTGACACCAGAAATTAAATGACGATTTTACCCCAGATACTAGACGAAGTAATGAATCCCTCCATCTCATAATTAAGGGTAGAATTGGGAAGTGTACAATTATTTTGAGACATTATATGCCAAACGAGCCCAGTATATCAATCTTTATCGACACTAGAAATTAAGTGACGATTTTACCCCTGATAATAAATGGAGTAATGAATTTCTCCATCTCATAATTAATGGTAGAATTGGAAAGTGTACAATTATTTTGGGACATTATATGCCAAATGAGCCCAGTATAGCAATCTTTATCGACACTAGAAATTAAATGACGATTTTACCCCTCATAATAGACGGAGTAATGCATTTCTTCATCCCATAATGAATGGTAGAATTGGAAAGTGTACAATTATTTTGGGACATTATATGCCAAAAGAGCCCGGTATAGCAATCGTTATCGACACTAGAAATTAAATGACAATTTTACCCCTGATGATAGACGGAGTAATGCATTTCTTCATCTCATAATTAAGGGTAGATTTGGGAAGTGTAATTATTCTGGGACATTATATGTCAAAAGAGCCTAGTATATCCCACCCGGGGGGGGGGGGGGGGGGGGGGGTAAAATGTATGCAAACCTACCTCTACCCGAAGGAGTAGAGCGGCCAATTCCGAGAACACTACACACCCATGTCATAAACAATTATAGTATAGGTAAACCACTCACCTGGCCCCAAAATGTTCCGATCGTCCACTTCAACGATGTAAGCCGAAAGGAAACTAACATGTAACGTGATATTAACAAGTCCATTTTCCGAGCTTTGTAAGGAATCCCGCAGCTGATTTATCTCGTCAAAAGACGAGCCTGGAAGGAACTCGTGAAATAGAGGTTGGATGAGTTTGAGGTCATGTTTATTGCGGTAGATTCGAGGAAATAGATTAAATTGCAATATATTTGGATCCTTCCCTCTAAACGTCACAAACTTTGCCTCATTTGTACTTCCATTCTTCAAAATCCCGCTCACAAAACTCATATGTTTTTTGTGTTGACGGTCCCTTGCCGTTAAGTTGAACTCGAAACCAACAGCGGTTGCGGGCATATTCGGAAGATCAAGAAACTGCCACGAAGTATAGAAATTGTCACGAATGAGGTGACAATTGTTGCATTTAAGCATCACCATTGGCCCCTTCGTGGTATTTTGACATGAGAAGTTGGCAAAAGTGGATAACGGGGCTGTCCTAAAATCCAAAAAACCGGGATTTCCGATGAGTAAAGTACCAAGATTCCGAAGATTGGAACAACTCATGCTAGAAATCGTCGTTATGTTGAACTCCATATCGTTGCTGAATGACGTCAAATCGGGTGCATTTGCGGCTCTAACGCTATGCACCTCTATGGTTCTCTTCAATATAATTTGATACAATAACCTGCGAAGGTAACCGAATTACAAAACTAGTTTAAAAGAGAAGTAAAATGAGAACTAAGTGTGAGAATATGCGGAACTCATTAAATTACTCTCCAAGATATATCGAGGAGAAGCGGTCTAATGAGCTTAACGGGACTCGCGGCTTATTCAATCAGCTATACATGATTGTTTGGTAGTGGTTTCATGATATAGAAAATGGCTTCTTAGTAAGATTCTAGGGGGAAGCTTTATGCAGAAAGCCAAGTTTTTTTTCTGAACATGCTCCTTCCATCTATCAAAAAACCCTCTCAAACAAAAACATTCACAATCTATACAGACAGATTCATTCACACACAGAGCTTTATTCATACAAGACTTAATGGAAAACCAACCAAACAGCCTCTAAGTATAGCCGATGTTGGACTCTCACACATCCAATCCCATGAAAATAGCAACACTTCCCTTTTCGCAAATTTTGAAACATTTTCATGTTAAAGTTACTCATTTGTCCATTGTCCAATAATTTAGGTTCACATGATTCCTTCATTTTCGTTTGTAGTAAATGGTATTTAGATACTTTGCTTAAACTATGTAAGTTTTCATGGAAACAAGGGAGTAACCAAACCAAACGAGCTCAGTATGTCCCACCTGGAGGTGGGATCAGGGGTAAGATGTACGTTGACCTGGCCTCTACCCCAAAGAGTAGAGCGGCTATTATTTGTAACTTGATGAACATGGATATAAATCATTGCAATCACTCACGCAGCAAACAAACCGATAAAAAGAATGCAGCTTGCGATTGACAAAGCTCCCCCGAGTTCCGTTTTTCGTTTCTTGACGACCTTTTGATCATCCTACATACAAAATTTGAGTATAAATAAACATAATTGAACCACAACTTTTTAGAACTTCAAAGATCCCTCAAGAACATCAAGAAACATATCAGTATATGTATGTATATGTATATGTATGTATGTATATGTATGTGTATGTATATGCATCTATATATGTGTATGAGTATATTGGGGCTTAATCATTTAAGAACCCCATCTATTGTGAGAACTATCATCGTATGATATTGTTTCACATGATTATTTCCACCTAAGGCTAGAATTTAATATATTGATTAACATATATTTGTTTCGCATTACGTTTTTTTTTATTAACATATATTTGTTTCACAATATGTTTGTTTCAAATGTACGAGTTTTTCCACCTAAGGCTAGAATTTTATATATTGATTGACATATATATTTGTTTCATATGTACGAGTTTTTCCACCTAAAGCTAGAGTTTAAGATATCGATTGACATATATTTGTTTCATATGTATTCGGTTCACAATGTGAAATTTTTTAGTTGTACTTTTTGTTTCACAAACACAAAGAAAATGTTCATATTGTGAAACAAACGTATTGTGAAACAAATACATGTTAATCACAATACTAAATCCAAGCCGTAGAAAGAAAAAAATCATGTGAAATATCACATTATGCACCAGTTCTCAAGGTTATCACAGTTTTATAAGTTCTCAAATGAAGGTCCCATATATATATATATATATATATATATATACACACACACATAGACATATACAAATAGAGGGAGGTTCAAGGGAAACCCCATGAAAAACTGATATAACTATTCATCTGGACAGTTTGTACATGTGCATACACATAATTGAATTTGTTTTTTGGTTCGTATGCACGTTTGCATGTTATGCACGTGTGCATACCGTACAAAATGATCACTTGTACACATGTGCATATCATCAAGATAGTGGTTTTCCAAAACCTACCCTATACACATATATACACACACATATACATACATATATATATATAGTCAATAGAAGCTCAATTCAATCTTTCAAGAACAAAAAAAAAAGCTGAAATTACGGAAAAAGTTACCAGCCAATGTCGAGTAGCAAAACAGATATCCAATCTGCTAATCCCCCATCTAATCTTATACCAAAAATTCCTTCCATCACCAAGATTCCTAAATCTCAACAAAAAACAGAACAAGAGCCAAATCACAATCAACACAAGAGTAGCCCCAAGAAACAAACCCTGAGACTGCGTATACTTCTTGATTGAATCAAATGACATAACAGTTTCAGGAAAAGTGATCGAATAGTCAACTCCGGTACCCACCACGAACCCGCCGGGGCCCATGACGATCGACGGCGAGCATTTGTTGGCGGTGGCGTTGTACCAGTAGCCTGGATTGCAAGCACACAAAGAGGAGTTGTAGATGAAGGAATTGGTACTTGGGCACTGCATTTTGAGAGATTTACTTGGTGATGCGATTAGGGTTTATGAATTATGGTGTAGATCTTGGAAGAATTTGGGGGATTTGTTTGTGTAGGAGCTGAAGAAACGAATATTGGTGGGTTTTGAGAAGAAACCAACAGACGAAAAGATTTAGTGGTTCCTTTAGCTTTACCTTGTCATCAGTTTTTTCAATTCTTTATTATATTCTTGGAGTAATTTACATTTTTAGTCCATGTAGTTTGATGTTTTTAACAAATCTGGTCCTTATCGGTCTAATGTAAATAGAGGGACCCAACTTACTGATTTATTCAAGGACCCAACTCGTTAGAAATTTCAACACGAGAATCGAACTCGTTACAAAAATGCAACTGTAGGTACTGATCTTGTTAAAAATATGAAGAAAAAAAACGTAGGGTCTTTAACGTAACTAGAGGGACCTAAATCGTTAATTTATTCACAGATCCAGATCGTTAAAAAAACTTCAACCATAAGGACATAACTCGCCACAAAAATGCAATCGTAGGTACTTAGCTTGTTAAAAAAACGTGAGCATAGGGACGTTTGATGTCAATCTTGGGGGTTGTTTGACAATTGTTGAATAGTTTGGTGCATAATGGTTAAGTGATCAGAATGATTAAAAGCGCTCACATGATATAGTACAAAATGAAATATAATTGTTTGCTAATTATTTATAATAAAATTAGAACGTTTAATGGTTAAGGGAGACCTATAATACCAAATCGTTCAGAGGGTTTTAGAACCATTAAGAGGTATACTTTTTTTTTGTCAAACAAGATTTACCTCTTAACGATTCAAAGATTGTTTCTTAATGGAACTATTAAGAGGTAAACAAATAACCCCTTGATGTGTTTGCTAATGATTCAGAGGTTGTTTCTCTTGAACTTGCTATCAATGTCTGCCAGCTAATCAAGCTGCCACCAAGGTAAACATAAATAGTCCGACATAGATATTATATTATCGACATTTATTCCTCCATCTGAATCACATAAAAATTCTGTAGGCAAAGTCGTAGCTGTGTGAAGTTTATTCCTTTGCTAATACTCTATCGTATATTCCAATATCCGTTCAAGTCCAGCTGACTCAATAGGTCATTGAGGCAATAACTCAATGGCTCGGGATATAAGACCCGTATTTGAGATGCATTCGATGTAATATTTAGAGCAAATTGCATGACAAAACAACGTATTTTAACTTGATTCTTATTTTGGGTAACGTACTTTCAAAACTTCCATTTTGGTATCTAAGATGTAAAGATTTAAACATTTAAGTACTCAGGTACATGTTTGAACATTAGCCGGTTACCATGCTGGTGTGGTATCCAACTCAGTATTATTTGTTATTCAACCCCAATTTCATCTCATCACTCGTCACACCAGCGTGGTAACCGGTTAATGCTGCAACCGGTTATCTAAGCACTTAAATATTTAAAACTTTACATCTTAACTACCAAAATAAAAGTTTTAAAAATACGTTAGCCAAAATAAGAATCAAGTTAAAGTACATTATTTTTTCATGCAATTTACCATGATATTTACGTCATTATTGATTTGTATTAAATTTATTATTTGTCTTCCCGAGAAAAAAATGTTTTTTTAATCATAGAATAAAACTTCTTATCCATACTATTTCTAGGATTTATTCTTGTACTTATTTATTAGTAAAATAAACTGTGATTGTTTTCACTTATTTTAATGATTTTAATATTATTAATTGTTTGATAGTTGTAGAATGATTTGGTACAGAATGATCAAGTGATCATAATCATTAAGAGGCTCTTATAATATAATGCAAAATAAAATATAATTATTTGGTAATTATTTACAACGAAATTAGAACGCTGAATGGTTAAGGGAGATACATGAAACAAAATCATACGAAGGGTTTTGGAACCATTAAGAGATAGATTTTTTTTATCAAACAAGATTCACTTCTTAACGATTCAAATACTGCCTCTTAATAAAACTATTAAGAGGTAAACAAACAACATCTGATATTATGTATTTATGTTGTTTTATTTATTTTAAATAATTTATATTCTCAAGGACAAAATATGTCTGACAAGAAAAATATGAATATAACTATGAAAAAATTAAAATTAAAAAAAGAGTTTTAGGCCCTCGTTAACTTTTTTGACTCAGAGTGTGTTTAGATAAGTTTCATGTTAGGTTCACGTGAGACCAGACTGTTTTCGTGAGATCCATGAGACCACATTTTTACACCTTAAACTTCATAGCAAAAACACTGTGAAGGTTTAAAAAAGCCGAACCTTCAGAGCAAAAACAATGTGAAGGTTACCTTCACAGCATTTTGCTGTGAAGTTTCAAATGTAAAAAGTTGGTCTCACGGGTCTCACGAAAACAGGCTAGTCTCACGTGATCCCAAGTCTATATATATTGGTTTAAGGCCCTACTTTTAAGTTTGAGACGGTCAAGTTTCTGTTTGCATGCTAACAAATGATTTTGACTTGAAGATTAGTGGAACTGATTTAACTCGTTTATCAGATAAATAACGGTAAACCTTTCAAAGTAAGATAGTACAGTGCACCAACCACACTTGTATTAGTAGTAACATTCTCAAGAGAAGTGTTCCATGAAACTAAAGAGTATTGTTTTTAGTTCATTGAAGTTGCACATGGATTGCATTCAATATGTTGGTTCTCTTAAACATGAAGTCATGTGTGGTTATAACTCGATTTTGGACTTTAAATTATTCCGACTGTCGTATTCTTTTTGAACCCAATACATTTATATGGGTCTCTATATTTGTCGAGTTACAAGTGGGGTTGTTCGGTAACGGCTTAATGGGCTGTTAAGCTTGTATGGCTTATTCAGTCAGCCATACATTGCTGTTCGTTTTCGGCTTATTCAGTCAGCCAAGAATTTCACGAACTACTGTACCATTGAGGTGCTCACTGGTAGATAACGTTAAATACAATATCAACAAAAGGAAGTCTAATATTGATGCGGTTTTGTGTGCTAAAAACCAAAATATCGGTAACAGTATTCGACAACAAAACCAGCTAAAATCGTTGTTTTATCAGCCTACCGAACTTCCCTTCCCTTCTTTCACATGCAAATAAGGACCATAGACAACATCCATGTAACCATGTTTGGAGGTTGGACAATACATGACACTAAAATAATTGAATCAAAATGATGGTGACCCAAATGATTAAAATGTGGACCAAATTGGACCATTTGGAAGGTCCATATTCCCTTTCTTTCACCTTTTCTTTGTCTTGTGAAATTCCTTCATCATAACGACACTTGTAAAAAAAGATGTGCATACTTGCATATAAATTCATAATGAATATGAACGAGACATACGGAGTGGATCTATGAAAGTCCCACTCGGGTCTCGTACACCCGTTCAACTGACATTTACAAGTAGAATATCTTTTTTGAGATATAAAAGGTGCACATGTTAAACTTTGAGAGGTGCTCTGAAATATTAGAAAATACAAAAGATATCAACAAAAAAGTTGAAAATGAAGAACTGAATAAGTATTTCAAAATCAACCGAGAAAGCTTAAATATCTATTGAAATTAACTAAAAAAACTTAAAATGTCTACTGAAATATTGGATTTCAGCTAAAAAGACATCGAACGACTTTACAAACCTTTAATCTACCTTGAAGGTGCACTAGTAAGAGTCACTGATCCGTCACTAACCGGGCATGTGTACGAGTCATAAACGTCCGTATTAGTCATGCCCACGTCGTTTTTTCTGATAAAAACGAGGCTTCTAACGGAATCTTCCACAATACAACAAAATAAACTTTGATTAACCTCCATCCATCATTAGAGCCCCATTTTAAGTGTGGAATCTTCCTTTTTAACCTTGATTACTACTAACCTTTCTTTCCTACCCCAAAACCCCCATAAGTTTCTTGAAACTTCAATTCTTGAATAGACTTTAGATTCCTCTTTTCCCCCAATTTATGCAAGAATCTCCATTTTTTTCAAGTTTTGCTTTCTGGGTATTCGATGATATGCTAAATCGATCACAAAGAACTAAAAGGGTTGATGATTTTCGATCAAATTTTCAAAAATTTCAGTGAATTTAGTAGGGTTTTTTGTAGGGTAGCGAAGGGTTGGTGGAATTGAAATCACTTTTCCCTAACTTTACCCACATATAAAGTAAAATATTCATAACTTTTGGCAGAGAGCATTCTCTGTAAGATTCCATCCAAAATTGTTGGACAAGTCTCTCTGCTTTCAGGTATTTCCTGTTGCTTTTAATTGTTATATATATAGATACAGTGTGTGTATGCATATATGTGTGTGTATGTATCGATACAGTGTGTGTATGTATATATGTGTGTGTATGTATCGATACAGTGTGTGTTTGTATATATATGTGTGTGTGTGTGTGAAAAGATACAGAGTAATCAAACCCCTATTTTTCTGGCATTCAGGGTTTACTCTTTTGCTTTAGAGGTTTGAACTTTCTCTCTTTTTCTTTCTGGATCTTAAACCTTTTTATAATAATTCTTTTTATTAAATGGGTTATAAATGAAGCATAAAAGATTGGATTTTGTGGTTATGAAATATGGATCTGGGGTTCTTTTTGTTCTAATGATTTGGGGGTTTCTTCAAGTGTCATGTAACCAAAAGTTGGGTACCCCATGAAATCAAGAAATCTTGATATCACTAAAAGCTCGCGAGATTCCGCTTGGTAAACGCGTCGATTGTTCAGGCGGTCAGCGATAGTCGTGGGCCCTTCACTTGCATTGCATTACATCCATGTGGATTGCCGAAACTGTGATTTTTGACATTTGTTCCTTTTTTTATTTTAATTTCAGTTGTAGGTTTCTGAATTAAAAGAGGTTTGAGGGTTGTTTGAAAAGATGAATGGGGCTGCATTGGTTGCCATTATTGCCACAATTGGCAATCTTTTACAAGGTTGGGATAATGCTACAATTGCAGGTACCCAAATTCTTTCATAATTCCTTGTGAATTCTACTTCTGTTGTTGCCCTCGGGCCGTGTAGTTCAGTTGGCAAAGGGGCAAAGCGGATTTGCTCAAATGCACAATGGGTTCAAGTTCGAATCTTGTGGGAGACGGGCTTGAACCCCTCCACTTGCCTTAGGCGTTAAGTCAGCTTTGAAATGCCTTCTCACATGTGGTTCCCAGGGGCGGGTTTTGTGTGGGGCCGGTTGGAGTTGATGGTAATCAACCTTTTGCTCAGATTTTACTTTTGTTATCTTCAACTTTGTTCGACTGTTTTTCGGGTTTGAAAGCATAGAATTTGAGATTTGGAAGTGTTTTTGGAGCTCATTTAGTTTGAAGTCTAGTCCAATGTCATATGGAGCCATTTAAAATTATTATTTGGGTTTGAAAGTGTATAATTTGAGATGGGTTTTGGTTAAATGACCTTCTGACAGGTTTAAGAATGTCACTGACAGGTTTTTTTTACTCCATGAACTTCTGACATATTTGAGAATGTCACTGCAGAATGTCACTTCCACACACACGAATGCCTAAAAACCTGTGAGAAGGTCATGGATTTAAAGAACATTTGTCAGGTGGCCATTTAGCGAAAAAAACCCATCTAAGATCTAGAATTGTTATTGGAGCTCATTTAGTTTGACGTCTGTTTGGTTGATTTTCCATTAAGTCCTGTATGGATAAAGATGTGCGTGTGGATTAATCTGTCTGTGTAGAGTCTGGGAAGGTTTTTTCATAGATGAAATGAGTGTTTGTTTTAATTGGGAGGGGTATGTTTGAATTTGTTTTGACTTTCTGCATAAAGCTCCTTTTAGAAGCTTGCTAAATAAGCCACTTTCTATATCATTTAAGTCATTACCAAAGAGTCATGTATAGCTGACTGAATAAGTTGTAAGTCTCTTAAGCTCATTAAGCTACTAACAAACAGACCCTAATAAGTCCTTTATTAATTAAGTTGTCTGTATCCACGATGTAAATATGTATAAATACAGGAGCGGTCGTTTACATAAAGAAGGAGTTGGATCTTGGAAGCACCATCGAAGGTCTCGTCGTTGCCATGTCACTAATTGGAGCAACGCTTATCACAACTTGCTCCGGACCCTTATCTGATTCAGTTGGCCGACGGCCGATGCTAATACTCTCATCGGTCTTTTACTTTGCTAGCGGCTTAATAATGCTATGGTCGCCTAATGTATATGTTCTTCTTCTAGCAAGATTAATAGATGGATTCGGAGTCGGTTTGGCCGTCACTTTGACACCCATTTATATATCTGAAACCGCTCCTTCGGAAATAAGAGGATTGTTGAATACTCTCCCACAATTCACGGGCTCGGGCGGAATGTTTTTCGCATATTGCATGGTCTTTGGATTGTCGTTAATGGCTTCCACGAGTTGGAGGTTGATGTTGGGAGTTCTTTCGATTCCTTCGCTCGTTTATTTCGCTTTAACGGTATTATATTTACCCGAATCTCCTCGGTGGCTCGTGAGCAAAGGAAAAATGGTGGAGGCAAAACGAGTCTTGCAAAGACTCCGTGGTAGAGAAGATGTCTCGGGTACTTTTTATCTCGTCTTAAAGATAGACCACTGCAACAAAATCGACTTTATAAGACGCCAAAATATCTAAATGTCCTAATATATTGTTTTATAAAATCTAGAGTAAATTACATTTTTCATCCTTGTGGTTTGTTAAAAATTGCGACTTTCGTCTCTGTAGTTTAGAAATTGCGGTTTTCGTCCCTATGGTTTGTGATTAATTGCAATTTTCGTCCTTATGATCTACAATTCGTTGTTGTTTCGGTCCTTGTGGTTTACAATTTTTTACTGTTTTGGTCCCTGTACTTAAAAGATAGGAATTAGTTCAAGGACGAAAATAGCAATAAATTGCAAATCATAGGGACGAAATTAGTAATTTCTAAACATCAGGGACGGAAATCATAATTTGCTATAGAATTTAAGTTTATATGAACCAAATAATTGTGGGTCATATGTAAAGGTGTTACAATAAGATGTGAGGACGTTTTTGGGCATCCTAACAAGTTTTTTAGGATGCTTTTTGAAATAAAGCGTCCTATTAGTCTTATAAGACATTTTCTCAAATAATGTCGTATCAAAAGACTAATATGACGCTTTATTTCAAAATTGTTCTATAAAACTTATTAGGACGCCTAAAAGCGTCCAACTTACTGTAACACATTTACATGAGTTGCACAATTGTTTGGTGTCTTGTAGAACAGTCTGCTAAGACATTTTTGACGTCCAATAAAGCCGATTTTGTTCAAATGTGCGGAAATTGACCAAAATAGCCAATTTCCACAACCAAATTCACTTTTTAGACACTTTTGGCATCGAATTCCTGTTTTAGCCAAAGTTTACCCAAATGCCGTACGCATTTGCGTAAAGCCTAATTTCAGATTAAAAAGAAAAATACGCAAATGGGGATCCTTACGTAAATACGTAAGGCATTTGCTTAAATTCCGGCTAAAGTGAGAACTTGATTGAAAAATGGCTAAAAAGTGAATTTGGTTGAGGAGATTGGGCATTTTGGTCGATTTCCCACAAACGCACGTGCTAAGTATTTAAAATTTCCATTTTTCTTCGCCCTTTTTTCGGCAAGTTTCCAAAGATAGTAACTAGATTGTGACGATTTGAATTACAGGAGAAATGGCTTTGCTAGTCGAAGGTTTGACGGTTGGGGGCGAAACGTCAATCGAAGAGTACATGATCGGTTTGGATAACGATGGCACCGAAGATCAAGATCCGATGGCTCGTAAGGATGAGATCAAGTTATACGGACCCGAAGGGGGTCTTTCATGGATCGCCAAACCGGTCACCGGTCAAAGCGCTCTCGGTCTCATTTCCCGCCATGGAAGTATGGTCAACTCGAGCATTCCGTTAATGGACCCGCTTGTTACTCTCTTTGGTAGCGTTCATGAAAAGCAGCCCGAATCTGGAAGTATGAGAAGCATGCTTTTTCCGAATTTTGGAAGTATGTTTAGCGCAGCCGGGCCGCCGGTGAAAGACGATCAATGGGATGAGGAGAGTTTGCAGAACGATGGTGACGGTTATGGAACAGACGGTGGAGATTTATCGGATGACAATTTGCATAGCCCGTTGATTTCGAGGCAAACGACGAGCGTGGTGGCTCCACATGGCGGCAGTAGTCTTATGCAAGGGAATGCCGGAGAGACTAGCGGCGGCGGCATGGGGATAGGCGGAGGGTGGCAGTTGGCGTGGAAGTGGTCGGAAAGAGAAGGGGAGGACGGGAAGAAAGAAGGAGGGTTTAAGAGGATATATTTGCATCGAGAAGGGTCGGGTCCTGGCGGCTCGCGCCGTGGGTCGATTGTTTCGATTCTGGGTAGCTGTGGCGGCAATGTTTCAATCGAAGGAGAGTATGTTCAAGCTTCTGCTTTAGTGAGCCAGCCTGCTCTGTATTCAAAGGAGCTCATGAGCCAATGTCCGGTCGGACCAGCGATGGTCCACCCGTCGGAAACCGTCTCGAAAACACCAATGTTGTCAGCGCTTGGTGATCCGGGAGTTTCTCGTGCGTTGTTGGTCGGGGTTGCAATCCAAATGCTTCAACAGGCAAGATTTCTTGGACCGTTAGATGTAAAAAAAGTTCGATTCTTGTAGATTTCTTGGATTGATTGACGAAAGGTGTCGGAATTTTCTTTTCTTAACGCAGTTTTCGGGAATCAACGGGGTTATGTACTACACGCCTCAGATTCTCGAGCAGGCGGGCGTTAGCGTACTTCTATCGAGCCTTGGCCTTGGTTCCAATTCCGCTTCTTTTCTTATTAGCGCCTTTACAACGCTTTTGATGCTTCCGTGTATCGCTATTGCCATGAGGTTTATGGATATTAGCGGTCGAAGGTAACTTCTTACCTCTGGGATATACCAGATTCGTTTGGTTTGAGAAAACCATTTATCTGTACGGTATATACATACATATATATATATATATACATACATGTATATATATATATATACATACATGTATACATATACATACATGTATACATATACATACATGTATACATATACATACATGTATACATATACATACATACATACATACATACAACATACATACATACATACATACATGTATACATACATACATGTATATACATACATACATACATATGTATATATATATATACATACATGCATACATATATACATACATATATATATACATACATATATAGGATGAGGTTAAGGAGAAAACTGCAAAAAAATAAAAAACTGAAGAATACCCTAGTAATTATTCATCTGTACGGTATGAATATGTGCATACAAGTAATTTGTAAGTAATTTTTTCGGTGTGCACACGTGTATAGAAACCAGAAAACATCTTCGATTACTTGTATGTACATGTGCATACCGTACAAAATAAACGGTTATTAGAGTGTTACTTTGTTTTCTTTTTTTTAAGGGTGAACCCCTTAACCTTACTCTCTCTCTCTCTCTCTCTCTCTATATATATATATATATATATATTATATTTACTCACTCCGTCTTAAAATAAACGTCCACGGTGAAAATTACATACAGTTTTATGCATATTCAATTACTAAACCTTTTAATTAACTAAATGACAATTTTACCCTTGATAATAGATGATTTAATGACTTTCTCCATCTCGTGTAATGAACGGTAGAGTTGGAAAGTAGACACTTGCTTTTTAAAATCGACGCGTATTTTGGGGCAGAGGTACAATTCAAGAAAGCGGATTTAGACATTCAGTTACTAATTTTGTCAACCGAATGCACCCGAGCCTACTATGTACAAAGACGAAAATGACCCTTGATGTGTTACGTTTTTTTCTTATCAGGACTCTGTTGCTTACTACGATTCCCGTACTAATTGCATCTCTCGTGATCCTCGTCCTCAGCAACATCGTCAACTTGGGGTCCATCATCCATGCAGTGATCTCGACGGTATGTGTGGTCGTCTACTTCTGCTGCTTCGTGATGGCCTACGGCCCGATCCCAAACATTTTGTGCTCCGAAATCTTCCCAACACGAGTCCGTGGAGTCTGCATTGCCATATGTGCGCTGGTCTTTTGGATATGCGACATCATCGTGACATATACGTTGCCCGTGATGCTCTCTTCAATCGGCTTGGCCGGCGTCTTCAGTATTTACGCGATTGTGTGCACCGTTTCGTGGGTTTTTGTGTTCTTGAAGGTTCCGGAAACGAAAGGAATGCCGTTGGAAGTGATCACGGAGTTTTTTGCCGTCGGAGCAAGACAAACTGTTGCAGCAAAGAACGAGTAACCGAGCCAAACGAACGCGGAACATCCCACTTGAAAGTAGTGTCCGGGTGCATGTTTGTATGTAGTGTGTATTTGAGTGGAACCGAGCCCGATCGAGCTTTCTACGCTCGTGGGCTCGAGTTGTGAGAGAGTTGGGTTCAGTTCGTAGCTTGCGAACTCTTCAAAGGATTGAGATCGAGTTGGTTAAGGCTCGAGCCTTGGTTCGGGTTGTGTAGACTCGATTACTATGGACTTGTATAGACGTATATTATACGTTTGCTGGTTATATGCGAGCGGGCTTAATAAAAGATAAATAACGCTTATGGTTCATATAGGCTAAATGACTTATAGAGCCATAATTTTAATAACGCAAAATTGTATGAAAAAGTAACGTAATTTAACTTGATTCCTATTTTGGATAATATACTTTCAAAACTTTCGTTTTGGTACCTAAAATGTAATCTTTTAAACGTTTAATAATCTGAGTAACTGGTTGAAACATTAACCGGTTACCATGCTGATGTGGCGAGTGACGTAGTATCCAACTCAGTATTATTTGTTGAAGCATTAATTGGATACCACATCACTCAGCACATCAGCATGGTAATTGGTTAATGCTTCAATTGGTTCTGCAAGTACTTAAATGTCTAAAATTTTACATCTTATGTATTAAAATGGAAGTTTTGAAAATACGTTATCCAAAATAGGTTTTTAAGTTAAAAATACATTATTTTTTCATGCAATTTGCCCTTTTAATAATTCAAAGAGTAAACTGCAAATTTGGTCCCTATGATTTGTTAAAATTAACACTTTTTATCTTTATAATTTTAAAGTAACAATATGGTTACTGTGATTTGTAAAAAAGTCCAGATATAGAATCTTCTTCTAACGGTTGTTAAAAGTTTTCGTTAAGTAAGAGATATTTTCATCTTTTTGTTGTCTTTTATCTAATCAAAATTGATTTTATGCTTTTGGTCTTTGTAGTTTTTGGTTGTATAAAAGACAAAAAACCGATAAAAGACAAAAATATCCTTCGTTTAATGGAATTATTTTATGGCCGTTAAACAGAGGGACCAAATCTAGACGTTTTTATAAAATCCGATGGCAATTTTATAATTTCAAACTGCATGGACCAAATTTGTATTTTACTCTAATTCAAAGTACGATATTTTGAATTGTAGTTTATTTTTGACATCCGCCATTGCTGGTGCTTTAATAGGAGAAAGGGGCTGGAAATCGCTACAAATCAAATTCGATCGATCTCTTTGAATTGTTCGTCGGAAAATGGGGTACACGAAGGGTTTGTTTTCCGTGATGATGAGAAATGGAGAGCCGCTGGTGAAGAAAATGACTGCTGTGTCTGTCTTCGGGGTGCTCCCTGGAGCCATGATCGCTTCTCTTATTTATTCTCCTCCCGATTTCATCTACAATCAGAAAAACTCTTCTTCTAAAACTCTCAATTAGAGATCTCTCTCGGTTAGTTTCTCTCGTTACCTATTATCTTCTTTGAAACTGTATAAGGTTTTAGGTTTTGTTTGTTTGATGTGGACTGAGTACGGAGTTGTGAGTATTATGTATGTTGAAACTGTGATTATTTGATTTTGAGATTATGTATCTGTTCATATCAGATCGTGTGTTGATTTGAGGATCGAAATGAATTGAAAAGGCATATGAGTATTGTGCTAGAAGCCTAGAACTAATGAACTATCAGGTGTTACGTAATCGAGTTATACTGTCTGTAGACTGTAGTAATATTAAAATACATGTGTAGATGGTAGATGGTAGATGTTTAAATTGTTTTTTGCAAAAATTGGTTTGTCTATTGATTTGGGTAACTGAATTGAACTCAATAAGAGGTGGGTATGACTTACGAGATGCTAGTTTTGGAAATAGGATGCCAATTTTGGGTTGTAGATCTGTAAATTGTGAATTATACGCCTCAAGGATTAGTAGTTGTGTCAATCTGTATATCAATAGTTATCAAAATCGTATGACCGAGATCAGAATTTACTATTTGATTCAATTCATGAAGCAAATAATGGTGGTTTTATTGAAGTTGTAATGAACAACTGATGGGAGATGACTAAGCGCTCATGACTAATTCAAGTATATTCTGGCCTATTGATCACTAGAATGCTTATATTCTCTCTCTGTATTTATTATAATTATACATGTTATATAAAATGCTGAAGCTGATCTAGGATTTAATGTCTGATTCTCGAATCATGAAACTAGTATAAATGTGCTCAATTTGATTCAAGAACTGGCAATTAAGGTGCGTTTGGTATGCAAACAGGATAGGATAGGACCGGACAAAACAACTGTTCGGCATTTGATAACACAGAACTGGACAGGACTGAATAGATAAAATGACCAATTGACTTCTATGAGTTGTTTATATCTTTTATCAATTGTCACTGCTTATGGAATAGTCTTTTACACTTTGTTCCATAAAAAAGTCCTGCCAAACATAGAACAATGATCCTTATTATGTTCTGTCCTGTGTACCAAACGCACCCTTATTGAACCAAGTGCAAATAAAAAATCTGTATGGTGTTTGGAGAGCCGAGTGTTGCATACTCTAGTTATACTCTACAACCTAATGATGCATTAACGAATTGTATGGTTCTAGCATCCAAGAATATAGAAGTTATACCTTACAAACCCTTTTGTGAATCATTGTGAATGATCTGGTATGATAGCACTGTTTCAGCGTGTGTACATTGTAGATGCCTAAACTGCAACTCATTGATGCATCCTTGCAAAAGTAGCGTTTCAGGGTTTTTCTTGTGCCTATTTATGTTTTATACATTTGTAGTTGCTAATTAGTTTGTAAAAATTCTAAGCCTTACTCATTTGAAGGATGTAATTGCCCTTAAGTTACAGATATGTTATAATCTGGTAAAATAGTAAATAGGGTATTGCAGACAAACTAGTTTTCGAGTTTGGTAACCCATCTATTTAATTATAGTTTATAACAATGTTCGTACGATTGTCAAGGAGATGGGTACTCTAAAACGACTGCACAATGCATTTGGTTGATTAATACCATGAGAAACAAGCCCTCGGGCGTGCAGCTCAGTTGACAAAGGGGCAAAGCGATTTTGCTCAAAGACACAACAGGTTCAAGTTCGAATATTGCGGGAGACATGCTTGAACCCATCCGCTAGCCTCAGCCTTTTTTGCTCAAATACCATGAGAAGCAAGCAAAACATGATTAGTTCTATAAGTAGCAACTTTTCAATAGTAAGAATCAATGAGCTTGTGAAACAAGCTATTGAAGCAAATTAGTTGTTCTGTTAGGAAGCGCATTTGTGGTAATGATGGCAGTATAAATTGCAATGTGTTTGCCTTTCTTTAATATGGTTCTAACTCTTATATCAACCGATAGCCTTTCACATCATTCATCCTCCACCTTCCCCTCAAAATTTGAAACCGTTCCCAAAAGGTCAGTTGAATGAAAGTCTGTATGATATGCCGAGAGTTCTCTCATAGTGGCAGCTGTTAGTGTGTGTCTTTTCTAGTTAGACTGTATTCTTTAGTCTTAAGGAGAAAACAAAGTGGATTTGAGAATTTGATCGACATACATGCTGCAGTTGTAGCTTTCTAGTGCTATTCATTCATGCAAATCAGAGAGAAATATGTAAGCATGAAGTGACAAATTGGTACTTTGTATCTTTAGAGTTCTTACAAGTTGCATCCCAAATTTTGCAATGCCATTGCAAAAGCCTCACAATATAGAAACAACTATTTTCAAATCTGCACCATTTTTTTTCCATTGCAGAAAAAGATGCAGCATATCGAAGGGATTCCTTGGTTCGGGTCGAAGAAGCAATGTCACTCGATCCTTATCAAACACACCAGTGGTCTCTTAACAATATTTATAGAGCGAAAAAAAAATCCTGGGTTGCAAACAGTGATTTGATTGATAATGCGTATGCTATCTGATCTGTGCCTTCATTTTGTTACAATAACATGTCTAATAGGTAGTTTAGAAGTACTTATTGGGCCCGTTTCTTTTGCGGGATTTGATGGGATTTGGAATTGGATTCCATTCCAATCCTGAGTTTGGTTTAAAGGAAAGTCTGGAATTGAAACTCATGGGATTTAGAAATCTCATGGGGATAGTTGGTATTTCACGGGATTTTTTTGTAATAATGTTTTAAAAATATGTTAAAAATAGGTGCTTTTTGTAATAATCAATTAATACAAAGGTAATTGAATTGTTTTTAATTTGTTTTTATAAATTATCTATGAAGAATGGAATTCAATTTCTTTCCGAATCCTACAAACCAAACACACCAAAGATTTCAAACACACAAAGATTTCAAATCCTTCCGATTCCAAATCCCTCAAAAACATTCCATCAACTCAAAAACATTCCATCAAATCAAACACCCCCTCAGAGATTGGGTGCTAACATAGTAACTTAGAAATGTTGAAGTGCTAAGACACTCAAATTATAAATTACAAACTGAATAGGAAAAAGAAATGTCATTGTACTTTTACAGAATACACACAATCTTGCGTTTAGAAAGAAAGCGAGTTGTTAAGCGTCAACTTCCCAGGCGGCTTCAACCACTTTTTGGTACACTAAATGTTAACAGGATATTTGATTATTTGGGCTAACTGATCTCTTTTGCACAGGCTAGAAGATATTGTGTAATACAAAACATTACAATTGTTAGTACCAAAACAATAAGCAAGAAGGAAGGGTGGAGTTATAGTATATGGTAGCTTGTTACATGCTATACTGAAAAACTAATCTCAACTATAAATTGTTCAATGGTTTTGAATTGTGATTGAGAGAGATTGAGTATTATCTTTGTTTTTGAATATTTTTATTACATAAAAAGATATCATCAGAAAAACCCATGATGCAATTACTTTGTAAATGACTTCTTTTTATGCTCCATTTTTCAGTGATATGCATTTATATTATTATTCTGATTTATAATATAGAGGCATAACTATCTCATGGTTTTAAATTGCGAAACAGAAGGCATTGTTTATAGAAAAAAGTTATATATATAATCTTGCAGATTTGAAAAGGTTGCTTTTAGGGTAGACATGAAGTAATTTTCTCATCTGGTTTCGTTGACTCAGTTAGCCGAATTCTCTTTGTTTTGTTGATTATGGATTTATAAATTGTTCTTTATATGTTCTAATGGATTTATAAATTGTTTTTGAGATGTTCTATCATTGATATATAAGAATCAGAGCCTGTTTATTAGCAGCTTAAAGAGCTTAATTAGCTTAATGAGACTCATAGCTTATTCGTGACTGTTTGGTAGTGGTTTAATGATCATTTAAAGGGGTGCGGGGGGAGGTTTATGCAGAAAGCCAACTCTTTTCTAGATCTGCCATTCTCAATTAAAAAACACGCTCCTTCCATGTATGGAAAAACTCTTCCAAACAAAAACCCTCCCCAATCTATACAAACAGGTCAATCCACATAGATACTATATCCCTACAGGACTTGATGAAAAACCAACCAAACAACCGATATCTACATAAATTTGTGATTGCGCAAGTGGTTATCTAATATGTGATATGTGAAAACCTGTATGTCGTTGCTTTTACAATATGTATTCACTTCACTCCGGCTGGCATTTATAGCCTCAAAAATTGGCTTGGGCCACTTGCCATCTTAGTTCATTTCTGTACTACCCATCATCTTTATATACTAGTTGGTAAGGGTTAGCAAGAAAATGATGCAAAATTCCGTGTGAATAAATAGGTAAAATCCATAGAGTTACCAGAAACACCGAGGTTGTCAAAATGGTGATTGACAATGGAAGTCACTTGCATCTTGCTGATGTTTCTATTGGCTGTGAATTCATAATGATTTTAACTTCTGTAATCGAATTCTACAATGATTCATCATGCATGGTTTGATTAATAACCATCATTGTTTTGCAGACTGCTTGGAAGACGTAGAAATATGTGTGGCAGAAGGATGGAACGCAATGATCCTAATGGTCGGTGTGTTAGCCATAATCGGTTAAGCCATTTGGAATCATAGTTTTGCTGTTCTTTTGAGCCAATTGTTTCAGTTTTAACATAAACTTAATTGACTGTCTTTCAATTATTGATTAATGCATAAGTCTCTCAAGTTCTTTAATGTCTTCAATTATCTTTTTGTCATCGAATTAGACCATAGAAAGCCTTCTTGCAAGCAAACAGGAAGCTTTGAAGATGGAAAGCTTCTATGCGGTAAGTTTGCTTGTTAGTTCATCGTCTTATTTATCCGTAAATCCCTCTATATGCTATTTGAACCCCTTCATATAAATTTTATAAGATAGAACAACATCACTATCGCCCATTTAAAATTTATTTGTGAAAAATCTAATGTGGGTCCATGTTATATACATCACTATTGATGGTGAGTTGACGTCAAAAGCTCTCAATCTTCAATCAAATCAATATCAAATCCAATCGATCTGCCACTCCCATCTCATTAATTGAATTCTTTCATGCAAAAAGCTTTTTCCCATTTTCACTTTTGGTTACTTGCTTTGCAACTTTTAGCATATTCAAGTTCTTGGGATGGGACACATTACATTCGTATCTCCCTCTCCCCATCCCATTTCTTTCTAAAATGCCAACCTAAACAAATCTTGAATTCAAATCGAAGAGTCAGCTACTTAACGAGTTGAATGAAACCTATGATTATTCGGTCAGCTACATATGATTGTTTGATAGTGGATTAATAATATAGAAAGTGACTTATTCAATAAGCTTCTAGGGGAACTTTATGTAGAAAGCCATGTTTTTTTCCAAACATGTCCCTCCTAATTAAAAAAAAACACGTTTCTTCCATCTATGAAAAAACCATCTCAAACAAAAACCGTCTTAATCTATACAGACAGATTAATCTATATAGACCACTTTATCCATACATAATATAATAGAAAACCAACTAAACAGCCCTAAGTTAGATTTTAAGTCATTAACATTCATCTCTCTTCCCCCATCCCATTTCAAAATGTCACCAAAAAAATCTTGAATTCAAATATAAGTTGATTTTGAAGTCATTAATATTCACATCTCTTCCCCCATCCCATTTCTTTCACCAAATACCAATTTCAAGAAATCTTGAATTCAGATCTAAGTTGATCTTGAAGTCAAACATTCATATCTCTTCTCTTTCTAAAAATCTTAAATTCAAATCTAAGTTGATTTTTAAGTCATTAACATTTATATCTCTTTCCCCATCCCATTTCTTTCCAAAAATACCAACTCAAAGAAATCCTGAATTGAAATCTAAGTTGAAGTCATTAACATTCATATCTCTTGCCCCATCCCATTTCTTTCCAAAAATACCAACTTACAGAAATCTTGAATTCAAATCTAATTTGATTTTGAAGTCATTTAACATTTATTTATGTATCTATTACTTGATAATTATGGTTACTTAACAATCATGGTGGTAATAATCCTACATATAGATTGCATATATGTTCATGCTAAACATATTCTATTCGGATCAAATGCTTGATAACAACTGATTAAGCCCGACCCTATCAAAAGACATTGCCTCATTGCTATGATCACTTGTACCCTGTGCTCCTAATCTTGTAACACCACCTCCTCCTGATGTGTTGAAGTAGTACTCCATTTCACCAAGATCCTCTTGCTGGAATGGAAACAATGGAGGAGGGGGGATATAGTCTGTCCCCCAGCGGTGCAAGTTAGCATCTGGGAGTTGTGGAATGGTAAAATGAGCCTCAGTTTTGCACTGTTTGGCCACAGGGGTAGTAATGGGTTGATTTGGGAGTAGGGTCTTAACAAGGGTGGGGTTAGGGGTGGTTTGGATGGTTGGAAATGATGGTAGGTTTAGTAGTGATTTAAGTTCTTGATCATGAATTTCATGATGGTTGTCACCAAATAGAAATGGGTTTTGGAGGGGTGGGGGTGGGGGTGGGGGGTTAGAGTGGTGGTGCATTAAGGGTGTTGTACCTTCATGGAAGGGCTTTCTGGTAATTGTAGTGGTGGTGGGAGTTGAACTTGAGGGTGATGATTCTATTGTTGATTGGCGGTGTTTGAAGTGAGGGTAGTTTTGTCCACCATTTGTTTTCTTTTCCCCTATTTTGTGAAATATTCTGCAAATCACCCATTCATCCTGCAAAACAATTTGTACTGTTCACATCAAATCTTGTACATATATTCATAATTATTCATCATCATTCATAATGAATAATACAAAAGATTTATAGATTATGAATTTCATTTGAATTTCTCTATAAAATAAAAAAGGGAAGCGGTAAAATGACAAAACACAAATCACCCATTCATCTTGCGGAACAATTTGTACTATTCACATCAAATCTTGTACATATATTCATTATGATTCATAATGAATAATACAATAAATTTATGGGATTTCATTTGAATTTTTCAATGAAATGAAAAAGGGAAATGGTGAAATGACAAACTTGTCCAATCCAAAAGTCAATCAAGTAGAGAAGACATAAAAGTCAACCCCAAGAAAACGACAAAATAAATGCATAGAAAGGTTGTACTATTTGAGGGTGTCAGAGCATATAGTGGTTGTACCTTACACGTGTGACGATAGGAAAAGTCACCATCAAGACGGTACTCATGCATGACCCATTTGGTCTTTTCACCATGTGGGGCCCGACCCTTGTAGAAAACCAGGGTCTTTTTCATACCCAAAAGGGTCCGACCCGACCCACTGCTGTAAACCTCCCGGTCCTTGCCCGTTGCCTTCCAGTAACCAGCACTTGTTGCCCGGTTCGTCCTTAAACCGGTCGGGTACTTCCTGTCTCTCAAGCTATAGAAATACCACTCTCTTTCCCCCATCTTTGCCACTTCTGCAGAGAACCCATAGATACAATAATTACCAACACCTTATTGTACTATATGCATAGACAGTTGTAAATATGTGTATATATACACACATAGAAAAACCACATTAGGAACCCAGAATTGATTAGAAATCCGGTAACGTCTGCAACATGTTATGTGTAAAAAACACTTACATATGAATTACACATTCATGATGATTTCTCGATGAAATATTCATCATGAATAACACTTCCGTATAAACTACACATTCATAATGAATATGGATATATTATTCATCAGTAACCACATAAGCACACATTCATGATGACTTCGGGATGAAATATTCATAAAAATAGTTTTACATGAATTACACATTTATAATGAATATGAAAATATTATTCATCAATAATCCAATATTCATAATAAATAACATGTCCATATTCACGATGAATATGTCATGTGTCAGTAAACAATTCTTATCAATTTTAGGTTCCTAACTAACCATCCCCCATATATATATATATATATATATATATATATATATATATATATATATATATATATATATATATATATATATATATATATATATTAGTTTTATATGTAGTTAGTACAACTTTATATGCACATTGTACAACACATGTAGCTAAAGGGGATAAAAGTACTGTCCAACTTTCTTTTTGTTTTTCTTTTGTGTAAGAATGTATGCAATGATGGAGTTCTTAAAAGGGGGTTGGATTTTGGATTAATGCGGTTGTACATTATGCAGAAATAAGTGTAAATTATGCATAAGTAATTGTATATTAAATGAAAAGGTCTGAATCAGTTTGAATTATTGGTTGTACCTTATTACAATTATTTATCAATCAATGCCCTTTTCATTTTTAATGACCAAAAAGAAGCCTTGAATGAATTGTACAACTCTATTTGCACATGGTACAATTCATACAGCAGAACCCCTTTGGTGCAAGTATAAAGAAAGATGCATAGTTAGATGTGGGATTGTCAGAAGTGAATTTAGATAGATTTTCTGAGCCAGAGATAAATATATTATAAATATATATATGGGAGCAGTAGTAATGTCAATGTGTTTCTCTCTCTATGCATTCAGATATACATATATACATACATATATACATGTATGCATACAAAACATCAGTTGTGAACCAGAGGACGAATGAGGACACGACAAGTGTTTCAATTTGTCCAGGTTCATTATGAATAACAATGATCAATTTCTTATAACATGATAAATATCCCATGAATATTCAGGATACACGGCACGTCCTTACTTTACCCGGGTGTTGAGTTTTTCATCCTTTTACGATTTTCGGGATCATGAACATATATATATATATATATATATATACATATATATATATATATATAATACACGTATATACACATACAATGATGAAATAAACATGACTGGAAAAATTATGGGGGTAAAAAGCTGTCAGATTTAGCATTTTGTTACTTGGATTATTTGATGGATATGCATTTATTACTTGTACCTTACAACTATCTTTGCAAATATCATCATGTATGTGTTCTTGAAGATGATCCTTTTCAAGAAACTCAAAATTTCAATGGCAGAAATAATGCATGAGTGTGAATGAGTCATGATCAATGTGTGTTGGAGAGTGCAAAAAGTCTATTAAGGTGTGTTTTTTTAAGGTGAAAGTGTGTATATGGTGTGTGAACACACACACACATATATATACAAGTACATATATGTATCTATAGAGTAAGAGTGAGCTTTAGAGGGAAAACCAAAAAAATCAAAACTGAAAACATGTTTATTCATATGTGCATACAAGTAATTGAAGATGTTTCATGGTTTTTGTGAACGTGTTCATGGTAATTATGGATATATGGATACCGTATAAATAAATGGTTACATGGGGTTACTCAGTTTTTATTTTTTTTATGGTTTTCCCAAGGTATACGAGTAATGGAGGGTGTGTTTGATGGTGAAAGTTTGCACGTGTATCAATTCGCAAGTGTGTGTTTTGAACAGTTTGATGGTGAAAGTGCCCCTCAAGTATGTGTTTGATGGTGAAGTGCCCCTCAAGTGTGTGTTTGATGGTGAAAGTGCCCCTAAATTAAGTTTGTGTTTGAACATTTTGACGGTGAAAGTGCCCCTGAAGTGTGTGTTTGATGGTGAAAGGGCCCTAAAGTGTGTGTTTGATGGTGAAAGTGTGTCTAAACTGTGTGACTGTGTGGTTGATGGTGAAAGTGTCCCTAAACTGTGTGACTGTGTGTCTGCATGGGAATGAGTTCTGAAGTGTGTTTTATCAGGTCTCAAGTGCGTGTAACAGTTGCTGAATGAAGTGTGTGTTCGAAGGTGAAAGTGTGTGTATGATCAGGTCTTAACTGTGTGGTTTTTACCTGGGAGTTCCCATGGTTCACAGCGATTCAGGTCAACTTCAGCAATGTCAACTCCAGAGAAACTAAAACTGAAGACTTTAGAAGCAAGATAGAAGGTGATAAGCTCTTCATCAGTGGGATGAAACCTAAACCCAGGTGGCAAACCACCTTGTTGCTCCGCCTCTCCTCCGCCGGCGCCACCGCAACCGCCACCGCCAAGTTCACAGAGTATTTCTTCTATACCCAGCATCATCATTTGATTATTAATTAAATAAAAGAGAAAAGGTGGTGGTGAAATTTAAAGGGAATTTTGGGATGATGATAAAGGGTAGTAGTAGTAATAGCTTAATAGCTATATAAGATAGACATATAGATATACAAATGTAAATATATATATATATATATATCACCACCTGAAAACTGGTCCCATCAATGTTTTAAAAGGACAAAATACAAAACAAAAAAAACATAGGTGGGGGGTGGTGTCCTTCATACATAACATATATATATATATATATATATATATATATATACATATATATATGGTTGGGTTCACGTGAGATTAAAAGCTTTTCTTGAGATTCGTAAGACCAATTTATGTTTATTGATCAACTTTATAAGCTAATGATCTAAGGGACTAAAATTGTATGGTGGCAATTTTGTGATTATTGAGAAGTCTCGTGGCAATTTTGTGATCATGAATGTTCAGATAGTAGATCTAATCCAAAGATTGAGAATTGGTCTCATGGATCTCACGAAAAACCTTTGGTCTCACATGATCCCAAGTCTATATATATATATATATATATATATATATATATACACACACACATATTCATTCAAGGGAGAACTGATTAGTCTGTGATAATTGTGAGATCTAATCTCAATCACATATCAACAGATAAATTAGAAAATTAGTAATTTTGGTAATTTGAGTTAAAATTATAATTAAAGGGCATTTTAGGTATTTTTAAAAACTTCTCTCTCCTCTCTCCAAATAAAAACTGTTTTGTTTGTGGTAAACATGAGATCCAATCTCAACCACAAATTAAAGGTTAAATTAGGAAATTAGTAATTTTAACTTAAAATATTAATTAAGGATATTTTAGGGATTTTATAAATATCATCTCTCATCTCTCCTCTTTTCTCTCTCCGGCGAATCTTGATCGGCGAAACTTATTCCGATGAACCTTATGTAAATATAAGACACACACTGTAATACCTACAAACGATATTCAATGTGATACTCAGATATATATACAAGATGCACAATATGATACCTTTTGTAAAGCAATGAAAATAACGAAAATGCACATTATGATACATTTCACAAAACAAAGAAAATACATTGTGATACATTTCATAGATGAATGAAATATTTTAATATTATAATCAATGTTAAATTCTCTAAAATGGGCATTCTATTGGAGATTAATGTAAATTTTTTGAGATTTTGACTTCCAGTTCTCTATTTTAGAGAAATTTTGAACAATCCGTTGAAGATGCTCTAAGAACCTAGGTTATTATAATGTCTTTTACAGTGTAATTTTTTTTATATTTGTCATGTTAATTTAGTTAGGTAAATGACCCATTGAACGTTTACCCAATAAACATTTAGTAAAAAACCCTTATTTTTTGTTTAAAAAAAGAAGAATTGTATAAATTCCTTCTTAGAGCATCTCCAACAGATTATTCAAAATGAAGATTTTCGAGGATAGAGAGTGGAATTCTCTTAAAACCTTCTCCTAAGAGAAATGAACAGCGTCGTCGTGGCTACAACCTAGCTTGGAATCTGTCCACGGATCCCACATCTAATGTGGGGGTGCTGCAGGCTAACTGGGGTGCTAGTGCTTTTTCTGTGCAGAATGTGGATTTTAACACTGTAAAGGAATTATTTCTACCAACGAGAATCCTTGAAATTAAATAATAAGAAAGATAAATAATATTTTCTAAAATATATAATTTATATTATAATTGTAAAATTCAGAAATTGTTATAAATAGATTATAAACTTTCTTTAAAAATTTTAAATTCTAATTCTTTATTTTAAAAATGTTCTTGTAACCTTTCTTTTAATTGAGATAACAAAAGAAAAAAAAAACAATTAATTATAATGGTGGTGCTTGATTGGTTTGAGTTTGAACTCCAAAAGTCAAAAGTGTCTGCAGGTCTCAGGTTCAAATCCAATAAAAAATAAAAATTCTCTTGTGGCTACAGATGTTCAAATATGGTGACTCCAAGCTACCCGTAAAGCAAGTGGTTGTTCTAAGATTAGTCGACTCGCATAACGAGCTAAATATCCAGGTTAGGGAATGTTTAGGATTGCTTATTGAAAGTGCTTATTAACTTATTTCAATGTCGTATCAGTAATAAGAAGTTTTTAATGTTTGGATATAGAAAAAATGAAATGTTTATACCGGTTTAACACCGATAATAAAAAGTTTTTAATAAGTTTCTTCATTTTAACTTATCAACTTATTCCGTTGTGGTACCGGTAATAAGAAGTTTAAGTGTTTGGATGAGAAAAGAAAAAAGTATCTCTATCTATTTTATCTGCTTATCCAGTGTGATACCATCATATGTTAATCCAAACATTTTTTATAAAACTCCAGTTTGCTATAATATAAATTAATAAGTATTTTTACATAATAACATAATTTGTTTTAAATTATTAATAATTTAAATTTTTTTATTTATATTTTAATTTTTAAATAAATAAAATAAATAAAATAAAATAAAATAAACAGAAGAGATGATGGGTTCAGAAATTATGCGTGCGTGTGGAGAAAGAAAAAAGTCAGGGATCAGAGGTAGGGTTCAGATGCTACTAAGTAGCCTTTTACACCTTTCATTTTTTTTTAATTTTTAATTTTTAATTTTTAATTATTAATTATTAATTATTAATTTAATTTATTTATTTATTTTTTATTTTACAATGCCCTGCCTCCTCCTACACCTACAAACACCTACTAAGTATTTAGAAATTATATTTATTTACATCATATTTTATCAAAATATCAACAACAACAAAAATAAAGATTTTAACGTTTAAAATATAAATGGTAAATTACATGAAAAAGTAAGGTACTTAAACTTGGTAACGTACTTTAAAAACTTTTATTTTGGTACCTAATATGTAAAGTTTTAAACATTTAAATATATTGATAACGATTGAAGCATTAACCGGTTACTATGTTGACATGACGAGTGATGGAATGAAATTGGGTTGAATAGTAAATAATAGTGAGTTGGATACCACATCAGCATGATAACCAGTTAATGCTTCAATCGGTTACCCGGGTAGTTTAACGTTTAAAACTTTAAATTTTAAGTACCAAAATGAAAGTTTTTAAAGTACGCTATCCAAAATATGAATCAAGTTAAACTACGTTACCATTTTATGCAACGGGTAGTTAACATAGCGACATTGAGGTAAACCTAAGATGACGACGAAGTAAGGAGTGTTTGGTTTATCTCCTAATAGTTTCATTAAGAGGCGGTATTTGAATCGTTAAGAGGTAAATCTTGTTTGGCAAAAAAAATTTGTCTCTTAATGGTTCTAAAACCATATGAATAATTTTGTATCATGGACCTCCTTAATCATTCAATGCCCTAATTTCATTGTAAACAATTATCAAATAATTATATTTCATTTTGCATTATATCATGAGAGCCTCTTGATCATTCTGACCACTTAATCATTCTACATCAGACCATTTATCAACCGTCAAACAGCCTCTTAATGTAGATGTCAAATACATGATGACTTATCTAATTTAGTTATTTCCACTCATTACTTAAAAATAAAGCAAAAAACATTGGTTATTGGTTAAACGAATACGTCAATAAGCCAATTAAGCGAAAACAAACAAATCATAACGTAACATCTCTGTACACGACGCAAAAATTTTAGTTTGTAGATTAGTTTTATCTAAAAATGTTTAATATTGAAATTAAATTAAAGGGCATGATAGTCATTTTGTCATTCTTCGACTCTTATTTTATATAAATAAACCCATTTACAGTTAGATAGTTTTATATTTAACTTTTTATGCTTAGGAAGTGTTTGGGATTGCTTATAAAAACAACTTATTGACTTATTCCGGTGTGATACCGGTAATAAGCATTTTCAAGTGTTTGGATAAACAGCTTATACCGGTGTCAAATCGGTAATAAGGAGTTTTTAAAGAAGTTAAACTATTTAACTTATAATAAGTTGATAATTTTTGTAGAAAAGCATAAATTGTTTGAAATAAGTAATCTCAAACACCCCCTTAAACGACCAAAATGAAACTCTAATAATATTTCATTTTTATCTCATGGCATTTTCCATTACCATATCAATGTTAAATGTAATCAATTTTTATTAGACGAGATATAAGGGTAAATTGTATGAAAAAAATAAGGTATGTTAACTTGATTCCTATTTTAGGTAATGTATTTTCAAAACTTTCATTTCGGTACCTATGATGTAAAGTTTTAAACATTTAAGTACCCGAAAAACCGGTTAAGGACTAATTTTAAATTAAAAAAATTCACGTCACTAACCACATCACTCATCACATCAGCCGGTTAATTCTTCAACCAGTTACCCGAGTAGTTAAATGTTTAAAACTTTACATCTTAAGTACCAAAATAAAAGTTTCGAAAGTTTGTTACAAAAAATTGGAATCAAATTAAAATACGTTACATTTTCATACAATTTACCGAATGTATTCCCTGTCGAATTTTTATCCTCTATTATTTCATTACATTTTCATCACTCTTCCTAAACAAAACACTCTCCATTTTTCATTTTCATTATTTTCGTTTTTTATTATTTTTATTTTTATTTGAATATAATTTTTTCAAAAATATTTACAAAAACAAAACAGCTTTTTACAGACGGAAAAAAGAGAGAAAAAAGGTTAACACGTGCGGGGAATTTGGGGAAAAAGAGGGGAGCATTTAATCTAATTTTAATTATTTAAAAAAAGGTGATGTAAGCCTAAATGGCTACTCTGTTCTTGCTTATTCACTCACCTAAAAGATACCCACCCCAATTATCCTTATCTCTCATTTATTATTTTCCTAAATTACATAATTGCCCTCCTTGTTTTTATTAAGTTAAGACACTGATGTTCTCTACGCCGACCTCTGTTAGAGGAAAATCACATTATGTGTTTTTCATATAAAGGGTATTTTGGTCTTTTACTAATTGTTTCATATAAAGGGTATTTTGGTTGTATTCCTTTTATTACCAATTTCCATGGTTAATTTAATACCCAGATCTACCTTCATCCCCCCTCTATAGTAAGTCAGTAGCAATTAGGGTTGAGTTGATCAGTTGAAGATATTTGAATAATTCAACCTAATGTTTGTGATTTGAAAAATCTTAACCCAAACTGTACAGGTTGATCGGATTGGTTGAGTTTATACTTCGGTACATTAATATATTCTCCTAACCTTGAATATGTTATTTCTTAACTCATAATTTCATATTCAATTAATTTTCTCAATTTACATATATATGTTCACGGTTACTGAACATATATACGAATGAGTTATATGAAGATGGATAATGGGTTGAAAATATGTGTATATGAAGAGTATACATGATAGTGTAATTGTCTAATATACATATTAATAGAAACTCAACAATCATATTAAATCCAATAAACAAAAGAATATCGAGTTCATCAGGTTGGGTTAGATTCAAATAATAGTAAACAATACCTACGGTTTGAAGATTTTACAACTCGATCAGATATCGGGTTGCTTCAGGTTGAATTATTTTACGTTGGGTTGGGTTGGGTTGATCGGATTTTGGAGCATTTGATTTGTGTAAAAAGCATATGCTATTTTAACTTAATAATGTGGTAAAAGAAATAACTAATATATGATTGAAAAAAGCAAAACAAATTGTTAATATATTTAAAAAACAGATAATTTAGGGGGACTGGTCACATGTTACATATATGGGTCGTTTACTAGACGCTTATCAAATCATATACCTTAATAGATAAACATGACAATGACCGAGAATCTTACCTGGTAGGAGCAACGGTAAAGATGAAGTCTTACCCGGTAAGTGAGGGTAACAACTCTTGCCTAGTAAACACTTACCGGATAAGTTTGTCGCATACAATACTGTCTTAATGGACCATAATCTTACTTACTCTTACGAGGTATGATTAAAGTATTATGTTAAAGTTTTCATATTAAAGTATATGTTAAAAGATCCATCTCCCCTACATCCATACCACCAAAATTACACTTAGATTACAGTCTACAGACTGGTGATAGCATGGTGGACGAAGACAAGGGATGATAAAATCAATTTGAGTTCGAATTCTGCCATCTATATATGGCACTTTTGACCACCGGTAGATTTACCTCAGAGCTATGGACGAAGCCTACAGTCACGATTTACCACAGGATTAGTCTAGACGAAGCTTATGGGCTATTTGGTTGGTTTTCCATTAAGTCCTGTATGGATAAAACTGTCTGTATAGATTGGGAAATTTTTTGTTTGGGGCAAGTTTTTTATAGATCGGGAGGGACAGGTTTAGAAAAAACTTGGCTTTCTGTACATAACTTTCCCTAAAAGCTTACTAAATAAGCCACTTTCTACATCATTAAGTCACCACCAAACAATCATGACTTATTATGAGCCATTTCCCAAATCCACCAACTTAATGCTTCAAAGTATTCCCAAAAAGACATGCTTGGATCAAAAGATTACCAAAAAGAACCAAACTTGAAGGAAACATATAAAAACATTTCCAACATCTTAACTTTAAAGCAACATAAATCCACCCTATATAAACCCTCCTCCATTCATATCATTCAGACATTCACAACAACAACAAAATGGCAGTCTCCATTTCTACCAAACAAGCATCCCTTTTCTTCTTTGTATTCGTGTCGGTTTTGGCATGTTCGGCTTTGGCCCATGAGTTTTCGATCCTTGGATATGCACCCGACGATTTGGCATGCATTCATAAGGTGATCCACCTTTTTGAATCGTGGGTTGTTAAGCACGAAAAAATCTATGAGAGCTTGGACGAAAAACTACATAGGTTCGAGATCTTCATGGACAACTTGAAGCATATAGATGAGACGAACAAGAAAGTTAGCAACTATTGGCTTGGACTGAACGAGTTCGCGGACTTGAGCCATGAAGAGTTCAAGAACAAGTTCTTGGGGCTCAAGGGTGACTTCCCCGAGAGGAAAGAGGAGTCTGTTGAAGAATTTAGTTATCGGGATTTCGTGGATTTGCCGAAGTCGGTGGATTGGAGAAAGAAAGGAGCTGTTGCGCCCGTCAAGAACCAAGGTTCATGTGGTAAGTACAATTAATAAAGCTTAGCGTATGTTTGTTAGCAGCTTAATGAGATTGACAACTTATTCAGTCAATTATATATGACTCTTTGGTGGTAGCTTAATGATCTAGAAAGTACTTATTTAGTAAACTTCTAGAAGGGAACTTTATGCAGAAACCCAAGTTCTTTTTTCCAAACTTGTCTCTCTCAGTTAAAAAAATTTCCCCACTCTATACAAACAGATTGATCCACACAGACAGTTTTATCTATACAGGACTTAATGGAAAACCAACCTAACAGCCACTTAGAGTGCAAATAAAAGCTGGTTTCTAAACTGAACCAACAAGCCTAGCATATCCCACTCGGATGTGGGGCCTCGGGATAAGATGAATGCAAACTTCACCTCTACCGTAAAGAGTAGAGTTGTTGCATCAGCAACAACCCCGTTCTCGTGAAAAGTGTGAGAAATGGGAAAACGAATATGCTAAACATTGAACTGAATGAAGTTTGGAAATGTGTACAGGTAGTTGTTGGGCATTCTCGACGGTGGCTGCAGTGGAAGGCATTAACCAAATCGTGACGGGAAATCTTACGGAGCTGTCGGAACAGGAACTGATCGATTGTGACACGAGCTTCAACAGTGGTTGCAATGGAGGTCTCATGGATTATGCATTTGCATACATCATGAAGAGTGGTGGGCTTCATAAAGAACAAGAGTATCCTTATATCATGAGTGAAGGCACATGTGACGACAAAAAGGTAAAAAAATTAACTTCTAAGGTACCGTTTACCGACACAACTTGGGTAAGCGCTAACAGGTAAGAGTTCCGTCTGTGTAAGAGGTTTGGTTTCAGTAAGTGTAGACCCAGTAAGGGCCCGCTTGTTAGCAGCTTAATGTGACTTACAGCTTATTCGGTCGGCTATATATGATTGTTTGGTAGTGGCTTAATAATATAGAGTGGCTTATTTTGGTAAGCTTTTAGGAGGGAGCTTTGTGTAGAAAGACAAGTTTTTTCCAAAATTTCCCCTCCCAATTAAAAAATAAAACTCCTTCCATCTATAAGAAACACACTCCCAAACAAAAATCTTCCCAATTTATACAGACAGCTTTATCCATATAGAACTTAATGTAAACCAACCAAACAGCCCCTAATAGAGTCTTCCTTCCTTACTGAGTCAGCATCTCGATCAACATCATTTGTTGGTCCAAAGTGTATGGTAAACAATCTTACCTCTTACCCAGTAATAGGCGATCAACAATTAGTAAACACCCCCTAAATGCATGAAATCTAGAACCTAACAGGATTCAGAGATTCTAAAAAGTTTTGTATCGTTGCAGGACATATCAGAAAAAGTGACAATAAGTGGTTATCATGACGTACCTCGGAACAACGAAGATAGCTTCCTGAAGGCACTTGCAAACCAGCCAATCAGCATTGCCATTGAAGCCTCCAGTCGCGACTTCCAGTTCTATAGTGGGGTAAGCCTGCAAACCAAACCAAACAATCCCAGTATATCCCACCCGGAGGTGGGGTCTTCGTAGACGGGACCTCTACAAATAGTAGAGCTTAAGCCTGCAAATGAATCCATTATCTATTTTAAAAGTTCAATTTCTCAAAAAATGGTTGTTTTGGAATGTTTATTAGGGTGTATTCGATGGGCATTGTGGGACAGAGTTGGATCATGGAGTAGCAGCCGTTGGATATGGAACAAGCAAGGGACTAGATTACGTCATCGTTAGGAACTCTTGGGGACCAAAATGGGGAGAGAAAGGGTACATAAGGATGAAGAGGAAGACTGCGAAACCCCAAGGGATGTGTGGCCTCTACATGATGGCTTCTTACCCTACTAAGAAAAAGTGAAAATGTCCCCTAATTCTTCCGTAAGGTCCTAACATTTCAACAATTTGGACCGACACGTGTATTTGTAACGTTTTCAAATATTGGTATGTAAGTTCGTTTGTGAAGTTGTACTTCCGTTCATGTATCCATCCTTTTGTGTACCTACTGGAAGACTAAATATCGACTATTACCATAATCGGGAACTTAAATTTCTACCACTAGGTTGGGTTCCGGTGAAAATAACCCTTTCCCGTGAGAAGGTGAGAAAGGTCACCTTCTCACGGAAATGAAAACTTCCCACATCATCCTGATTTTTCTACCACAATTTCAAAAGATACACCAATGAAAGACGAGACCAAGCAAATTTGTGCATCTACACAGAAACATTGACAATGATGATCTGAAATGCGGCAAAAAGCAAAGTTAATGTTACAACATAGCAATAACAACCATAGTCATAAGGATAGATAACATACGACTACATCTACAACTAAAACCAGGCTCGTTAATATATAGTTGACTCAAAATTGAGTCCCAAGAAAACAGAAGTAACAAACTAGAGGTGAGTAGAGACGGGGGTACCCGGGTTAACCGGTTGAGTGTGGGGTAAAGTGTGTTTCATCACGACTACTTCAAGTATACCGGTGTTCCGGAAAGTTGGTGAGACCAACCTGGGGTCCACACGTCCAGGTAAGTTAAAGGAGACGTTGAAGTTTCCAGGTGGGGCTAGTTCTTGGACCTTGGGCTTGTACTTGTTGCTGGCATGATTGGTAAAAAAGTCGCTGTCTTGGACAAGTCCTTCGATTTCAACTCTCCCATCAACACGCACATCGAGCTTTACATTGCCTGTTTTAGTTGATTTCATTATTAGTTCAATCTTTGGATATATAAATATCTATAACAATAAGATTCAAGTAGGTGCAAGAACTTTAGGTGTAAAGATGTGGCATTTCGTAGATCATGGAGTTAAAGCTAAAAACCAAACAGCTGCACGTAAATTGAATTCCTAGAAGTCATTATACCCTCTCCATCCCCAAAATAAGTATCTACAATTCTATTTTAGTTTGTTACAAAATAGGTGTCCACTTTCAGAAGTGCCTACTTTTCAGTTCTACCGTAATTATGAGGTGGAGAAATTCATTACTCTGTCTACTCTTAAGGGTAAATTGGTCATTTAGTTGATTAAACCAAACCGACCCAATAAATCCCACTCAAAAGGAGGGTCCCGGGGGGATCAGGGACCTGACCTCTACCCCCAACAAATGAACAATAATTCAACCCAAGGTCGGCAAACACCTGACAGAATGTGAATGAAGAAGTGTAATCATGGTATACCCAATTGTTAGGCTACATCCCTGCAAATGGCCACTTTTCTACATGTTCCTTTCATCACAGAGAAATGGAAGTGGCAGAACTAAACGAATGATAAGTTGAAAAAAGAACCTCATTTTTTAATCCGTTCTCCTACATCACCTTATCTTTTATAACCATATTCTCCATTTTTTATAACCATATTCTCCACTTTTTCCATTGAATGGTGTATAAAGAGAAATTTCTACCTCTGGGATCCCTCCTGGGATGTTTGACAACCCCAAACAGCAGATTACAAGCTACACCCGTGAGAATAGGTTGTAAACCAAAATGAGTAGTCAAACAGTCACATATGGCTTTTTTAGTTTTGAATACGGTTGAAGGAAAAGCACACAATAATTCCCCTTCTCTTCCAAACCCATATGATGGCTCTTGAGAAATGTAACTTTTTAGGCTTGGGTCAACACAAGAACAATGATTATCCAATCACAGTAATAGAAATTGCTCCAAACTACCAACTAGTAGAAGAAGAGCCTCATTGGCTAGACACAACCTTACGGGGAAAAGAAAAGAACATTGAAGCTGTAAATCCAAAAGGAACAGAAGAATGCAAAATCAAGGTCAGAAGATCTGATAGACAAAATGTAGGTGGCAGAAACTCTAGATCCATGACACTTTCTACCATAAGAATATGTATGGTTCGCATAAAGGCATTAAGCCAAAAACAGAAGAAGTCTGGTAAGCAGATCGAATATGGAAGGTTTCTTGATCAAAAGGTGGTAGGAGTGATTTGTCTTGGTTGTCAAAAAAGGCAGTGAAAACAATAGAGATTAACATGAAGTTGGTTGATTGACATTTTGTAGCAAGAGCAGGTCGATGGCTTTGTGCAGTCTACATATCAGATGGAACTGACATGCATAAAGCTTGACCTTAAACTCTGGATTTATTTATTCTCTGTTCACTATGTAACACCTAACACTCCAATGCAGAGAAAATTTTAGCATTATGAAAGACAATCTGACCCTTGGTGATGTTATGAACCACATCAACTAATAAGAAGAGATGTGAAGAAAAAATTCAGGGGAGACTACTACTTGCATGTGGAAGTTACCATTTGTTTAGCACTGAAAAAAACCAGGTCGTCTTTGATCAAGGCTTGATAGTGGATGAGGTGAGATAAAAGAAAAGATGAGGAAAGTGCAACCATGGAGCAAGGAGGGAGGCTCATCCAGTTTGTTAGGTTATGGAGGAACCCAACCAGCTGCTTCAAAACTCGAGAAAGGAGGATATGAGGGTTTAAGAAGATTGGGCTAGAACCACATAGTTGAGCATGTAATAAGAAACTTGGAAAGTCCAACACCCAAAAATAATTAGAAAAAAAGAACCAATCTCAAACCCCAAAAAGATGAATATCACAAACCCTAATTTCCCATTTCTGAAATTTCCAAACCCAAAAAAGAGGTGACATTGGATAGAAGAAGGAAACAGGCATGGTTGTCAAGAACTCAAACTACAATTCCTCTTGTTTTCGTTTTTCTCTTCGAGTATTCCACCATTCTGATAGTCTTGTTTAACAGCTAACAAACAACAATGGTATTAATATCATGGTATTCCTTATGATAGGACGCTCTAAAGAAGCAGAGGCTAATACTTGGCAGAGACTAAATGCATACGTTACAAAGAATGGTAGAAACCAACCAGTGACGGGATAAATAAGTGACAGCTTCACCAAATCATGTCATCAAGGCTCAAGCTATAAATTTATTCTTGGATAATAGGCAAGCAATTACATTTTGGTTTTTGATTTGTGTGGGCATTCTCTAAAGGATAGTTTATCAAGTTTTATGCCTAGAATCTCAGATTGACAGCCCAAAAATGGAAGAAAGATAAATGTAACAAGCCCCTGCCCACAATTTCATCACATTTGAGTCATTGATGATCGAAGAAACTAAAATGGAGATTATGGTAAAGATCCATGCACAGAAATGGAGATTATGGTAAAGATCTATGATGAGTGACAAAAGTGCTGCTGAGAAAAAAGTAGTTCTTTTTCTATGCTTCCTTTTTCCTTTGCTACTAACAGATGGAACCTACCCTTCATCCTCCCTCCCCCTGTCTTTTATTTTGTCAACTGAGCTCCTAGATATCCAGTATTTTGGCTGTGAGAAGGTATGTACAGAGTTTATTCTCAAACATATTAGTGTAGGGGCGATTGAAGACTTACATTGAGGTTTACAGACACCAGGTAGGGAAACCCGAAAAATGTAAGCACGCTGACTTTCACCTATATCAACCAGGCCAAGTGGTGGTGCTTCTTTTGCATCCTTGGCTGTACCACTCAAATTGATTGATGGCTTTACCTCCATCGACTTTGTTCCAGGTGATCCACTCATACTTCCTGGAAAATTAACACATACTAAATCATTAGGGCTGCATTCATAGTTTGAGAAATTTCTTTTAGTGCCCAAAAGCATGCTTGTTTGTATTCATGCCTAGTCGTAAGCAGATAAGTAAACTTCTAGAAGAACAGTGACACAAATATATATATATATACATGTTTGTATGTGCATGTACGAATGTACATATATATGTACGTGTGTATAATGTATGCATGCCTAAATGTGTCACACATTCGAGAATCTAGGATGGTAAAGGAGTACGAAACAAAAATCCAAGTTCATTCAAACAAGGAAGTTGAAAGATTTATAACACACAATTAGAAACGCAGGTGTTACTTCAATATAACACCTGGATAACCTAAGCATCCTAGGTTATCCAGGTGCAGATCTTAGATACCTTCATTTCCTTTCAAGTTATTAGCATTTTGGACAATTTTGTTTGGCACAATGTTTCAAGAAAACCGATATCCTCGTGAATATTACAAAAAAGAAATACTTCTTATAGTATAAATTAGCAGAAGAAACAATCCAGTTGGCAAAAAATAGCGAATGAACCTCTAGAAATTCGTGTATTTTGTTCGCTCAATCTTGATAAAGCTAGTGTCTTCTTTGCTTTCTGAAAGTATGTTGATTGTTTGGACGGCAAGTACAGTTGTTTGAATTGTTAGCAAGCCGTCTCTTTTCCTTCTTGTCCCTCTAACCTATTTCCATCCATATCGTCTGGGTGCTCACAACCCATCATTGTATTATTTTCTCCCTCAATGTAATCTGTACCTTCAGTTCTTTTATCGAAAAATGTCACAAAACCATTTTATATCGATGGAGAATTCATAGATCTGATTTGACTTTTTCAAAACATTTTAGGCATCTTCTTTACAATGATAATCATGAACACATGCCTTATACCAAATTCAGAACATACTGGAGCACCAATAATTGGTAACAATGTCCTTACAATTTGGCAATTTAAAATGCAAAATCACTGTTTTTAGCATTCCTCATTTTAACCTGTACATATATTATGAAAAATTAATAAACATCTACTTATTTATGTATCGTACTAATAAAATATTTTATTATTACCTTAAAACAAACTTTCAATAAGTATCCAATTAACGAGTACGTCGCAAGAAAAATAGTACCGCAGCCCACAAAATTTGTCAATCCAAAATGCAAAATCATTGTTCCAGTAAATCCTTATATTGAGATTTACATTCCCTCTGGACTGTGAAAATTTACACCAGCCCATTTATTTTAGTATCCAACTGAGTTTGTCTAGGCCTGTTAACAATAATTTAAAGTTTCAATTTTACTAAGTAGACCTATCAGAATGATACAATCTAAGATTCATGATTTTGGTTGCTGTAAGGAACAGCTATTGCACTTATCTACCCAAAGTAGAAACTTCACTTTTACAAACTTCCCCAAAACAGATTATAGCAAGCAAAAACAATTACTCCATGAAAATAAACTATCTGCAGGCTATCTTAAATACCGCAAATACACATAAAGAAGCTCCCAAACAGAAGATACAAACTCATTGAAAATCAGTCATAATAACCGAAAAAAATCCAACAAATCAAACATAACGTATATCCAATTACATTAAACGCCACATTTTCAAATAGATATCATTAGATTAGAACAATAAACATCCACGTATAGCTACATTAAAACCAATAGATCTAGAAAAAAAATCAACCAGTTGTTCCTTGCAGATTACACGGCCTCAACACACATGAAGTAGTAGTAGTAATAACCTAAGTAATCCAACGTATTAGCTCTAAGAAAACTATGGCGATTTCTTCGCTTAACACATTTAAATCAAACAAGCCTACAACTTTCGAGGCCAAAAAAAAAGTAAAAACTCAGCGACAGATTGTTCCGAAGTTACACATGGAGAAATAACATGCGGCAAAAACGAAGGAAGATCAAACAACGTAGCATCAACGGTGAATATCAATGGCGGAAAAGCTTACCCTAGCTTCACGAATTCTGGTCTTCGGTATTCGAGCTCGTTCCTCCTCTCTAGTCTCTGCCAAGCTCTCTGTTTCTCTGCCACGCAGCCGTCAGCGATGAATGGAAACAGTACCCATTTTCATGCCTCAAATGCCCGTTTTAAATATAACGGGTCAAGTTGACCCGTCAAATATTTATTAAAATATTTTTGTTTTAATTTAATTAATTAATAATTAATATATAAAATCAGAAGGTTAATATCGTAAAAAGGTAAAAGTTATGGTTAACGAAATATTCATATGTAAATTATTGATAAAATTTTATATGTATCTATAACATCGTTTTACATGTTTGGGATCACGTGAGACCATGTTGTTTTCGTGAGACCCGTGAGACCACTTTTTTACACTTGAAATTTCACAACAAAATATTGTGAATGTAACATTTACAATGCTTTTTTTGTGAAGGTAACCTTTACAGTGTTTTTGTTGTGAAGGTTCGGCTTTTTTTACATTCACACTGTTCTGCTGTGAAATTTCAGGTGTAAAAAGTGATCTCACGGGTTTCACGTGAACCCAACCCTCGTTTCACATGTACATCTTTAAATATATTTTTTTGAACTTTTTCAGTGAGATAGATATCAACTTTCATTTAACCTTTCATTTTTTTACTTTTTCACGATATTTAGTCTTTTTATTTGAACTAGCTCAGTAATATATATACACGTGAAGGGAACCTGGTGGTATGCGAGTGCCGTATCCTGCAACCTACCAAAGGTCGTATGAAACTTTGATTCATGTATCACATGTGAATGATTATAATACCACGTAAGCAACACTCTTATCACATCAGTACATGTGAGAGGGCCTAGTGATGTATGTGTGACTTGGCTCGCAACTAGGTCACGCCACAGGTTATCCACGTTTCTGATTCAGTATCACATGTGAATCATGTGTGATAAAATATAGTATCACATGTGATTGACTATGGTAAAAGAATGTTATCACATTCTTGTAAAATGAAGATGTTCTCGTTTAAACATTTATCTATATATAATAAACTCATAATCGCACGAAACTCGTATATGCCATAAATTTACTTTATAACTTACGAGTTTATGTGTAGGCTCTAATCTCGTACGCAATCTAAATATGTTGATCAACTATTTGATACCGTACGTGACACTTTTTTGCTTTTGACGTTGCGCAATGTGAAGAGCGGGACGACGTCTCAAATATCATCAAGTTTCAAAGACTCGTGGATGTAAACCAAAATCAAACAAGCTCAGTATATCTCATTCATAGGTGAGGTCCATAAAGGTTAAGATGTATACAGACCTGACATCTACCTTAAAGAGTAAAACAACTGTTTCTGTAAAGATCATCAGCTCGTGGATACGGTCACGTGGAGCGTATTATATTTGCATTTAGGGTTTTCAATGTTTATCACAATAAAATACACAGTCGTCTAGCGGTTACAGCATGAACATTTAAACAATTCCATTACTCGAGAGCGTTATCATTTCCTCTATCGCAAGAACAAATGTTTCATATATGATCTCATTTACCAACGACGACCACTATTAATGGTTTTGACCAAGGCCATTACCATAAGAAGATCTGTTACGAAGTAAGGTCATCCACAATGCAATGTCCATCATCGGAGAGTAACGGTGGCAACCAAAAAGTTCTCTACAGTGGTTTCCGCCTTACGCCAATTACACGATTTCCTTTTACCAGATCCACAATGGTTTGACTCTTTCATTCGAGCTTTCTAGAAACTGGGACCCACAAGGAAAAAAACGAGGTTTATGCTAAATTAGGTTTTATAGTCGATCGCAAGGTGTTTACCACAAGAACATGCAAACTTAAAACACGAAAAACGTTAAGTTTAACATTGTATTTGAACGGAATTAAATACCAAAAGCGGGTTCTTATGAATCCCCTTAAGACATGTAATATATATCTAGATGGACGATGTTTATATGATCATTTGGAATATTTAGTTGTTGTCTCCACGAAACTACAGTAACCATTGTGTTATCATCTCGTCAACGTCAATCTCTCTAGGTGAGTTAACACCTGATGAACTGGCCACCATAGAAGTAGAGGCCATTGCCGAAGTAGTGGCCACTATAGAAGTAGAGAACAATTCTGCTATCATCTCGTCAACATCAATTGCTCTAGGTGATGATGAACTGGCCACTGCAGAAGTAGAGGCCACTTCAGAAGTAGTGGCCACTGCAGAAGTAGAGAGCAATTCTGCTATCATCTCGTCGATGTCAATCACTCTAGGTGAGCTAACACCTAATGAACTAGCCACTGCAGAAGTAGCGGCCACTGCAGAAGTAGAGGCACCTGCAGAAGTAGTGACCACAGGAGAAATAGTGGTTAACATATAAGTACTTGCCACTGCAAAAGTACTGGCTAGTTCATCAAACGGTATTTCTTTCCTCACTGTGAGTTCCATGACCGTGGAGGAAGTAAACGAGACCGAAGTCGTCCACCACTCCACAGGGCCAGGGAGATGGAACGAAATCGCCCAGGGTTCAGTTGGGCATAACTGGACACGTCTTCTTTTGAGACTTGATGTCACATCTGAAAATATCTCACCAACATCTATCTGTCCTTCTATCGTCACTTCACTATCATCGTTGACAGTCCATTCTACCTCACCTGATGCAATCATTAAAAAAAACCCCATTAGTTTCTTATTCTAAAATCTCTATCTTTACATAAAAAAACGACCTTTAAAGACGATTAAGGGTTCATGTCAAACTGTAACTTACCCTCATAACACTTAACGTGAGGCAACTCGATTACAACCAAATAGCGATATTGACTAGCAATCAACTCAACTACGTTCACGAACGAACGACTACTTGCTTTTGTTGCCGCTCCAAAGAGCCTCATTTTAGGTTTTTCTAGAGCAGAAAAGATTTCCATTTCTAACTCCATCTTCAGACTGAGCTATAAAAGGAAAAAAAAAATAACTGAATCCGTGTGTTTTTTGTTCCAATTTGGAAGAAAATAAATCAATACTTGCAACACCCACTACGTTACAGATTATATATTCCTATTTTTAGCCATAAATCATACATCACCACAACAAAATTGACTTTACAGGGCGTCTAAATTGTCCAAGCATCCTTATAAAATAATTTGTAGAACTCTGGTTTAAGGGAACAAACTGTTAAACGTCTTATCTAAAAGCGTTACAATAGGTTTACATAACGTTTTTAGGCATTTTAACAAGTTCTTATAAAAAAAGTGTCATATTAATTATTTATAGCACACTTTTGACAAAATGTCTTAAAAACCTATCTTTTTATATGACATTGGTGTTTATAAGACACTTTTTCAAATAGTATCATATAAATTAATTAATACAACATTTTATTTAAAAAAACGTTATAAAAACTTGTTTAAACGTCTAAAAGTAGTCTATAGATCTATTGTAAAGCTTTTAGATAAAGCGTTTTTTGGTTTGATCCTGTAATCTTAAGTCCTACAAAGTTTCTTTTAGAACAGTTTGGTGTTTTATAAAATCAATTTTGTTGTATCGCATCCTCCTAAAATTCCTCCAAAGTAGATCGATTGATACCAAAATACCAAAAATTTACATCTATAATTAACACACAGTATACACATAAAATCACATATCAAGATTAAAGCAGCATAAAATCACAAGAGATGAAGAACTCTGTAAAAATTTGTGTGTTTTTGGTGCCAATTGAAAGAAAACTGCACAAAATTTACCAAATAGTTTCAGAAATTCAGTACTCTAAACACCTACCGAGAACAAAACACACACAAGAGGATAAGAATTGGTGTGATTTCATGCCGATCGAAAGAAAATTGCATAAAATTTAAGAAACAGTATCTAAAAATTGAGGAAATCTGATACATGGAGACAGATGAACTCGATCCTAATTCTGACCCATCTCATCTGCAAATCGATATCTAGAATTCTAGATTGCGGGATTTCGTGAAAAGTTGAAATTAATCACCTAATCAATTAAACAGCAGTAGACAGTGATCACATTCCATTTGAGGATCGATTCGATCGACTTCTATATCAACTATACAGTAGTAAAGAAGATAAGATTACCAGATGATTTCGGTGATTGAACTCCGGCACCGACTGGAATTCTCCGATCGATCAAGTGATTTGAGTGACGGGTGAAATCTATTTGGTGCTGTTCGAATTTATACCAGCTTTCGATCGGTATTTTTGTGATTGTGGGCCAGGGTAGCAATAGATGACTGCCACGTTGCAGCTTCGCCATGCTCCGCCGTCATGCAACCGCCTATTTACCGGTGCACCGAAAAGATTCCCGGAATTTGAGGGTGATACGAACCTTTTTGTGACGTCATGCGGTGGTCTTTTTGCAGGGAAACACTCAATTGGTTCGAATTTGCTTAAAAACTACCAGACCTCAAATGGTCAAATTAAGCCCTTCAAGTTTTATGTAGTTGACAATTAAGACCTTATACTTTTGAAGCAACCCAATCCAACCCAAATCGTACAGGTTGGTCGGGTTGATACTTTGGTACATTAAAATATTCTTCTAACATTGAATATGTTATTTCTTTAATCATAATTTCTTTTTCATCATCGACCATTTTATACAACTTATCTATACTTCTTACGTATATCACATTCAGTTAATGTTCTCAATTTACATATATATGTTCACGGTTACTGAACATATATACGAATGACTTATATAGATATGTGAATAAATTGAAAATATGTGTATATGAAGAGCGTACGTGATGATGTAATTATCTAATATATATATTAATATAAATTCAACAATCATATTACATCCAATAAATTAAAAGATATGGGTTCATCGGGTTAGGTTGGTTCAAATAATAGTAACTCGATATCAGCTCAATACCTACGGTTTGAAAATTTTACAACTCGATTAGACATCGGGTTGAATTATTTCGTATTGGGTTGATTGGGTTAGTCGGGTTTTTGAGCAGCCCTATGTAGGTACATGTACATACTGTACAGTTGAAAAGTTATTACAGTATTTCTCAGTTTTTCATTTTCTTTTTTATATTTTCTCTCTGAACCTGATCCTATAAAACTAATTTATAAAAACATTT